CACCGCCACTGTGGGAAACACCGCCACCCCATCTGGCGGCGAAAGTATGAAATGTGAAGTGTAAAAATCCGTTATTTCCTATTGACCGCACGAAGGTAAGCGTCTTCTGATTTGTGTTCCGGTGTTTCAGTGTAATCGAAGCTCAATGTGGGCATTTAAAGAAAAATGCACATTCTCTTATAAAAATTCGATGAGTTGGGAACACTTTTGAATGTCTTTAAGTAGAGACTCATTTTGATTTACTTGATTACCTACATCGAAAAATAACTGATCGGCTTTGTCCAGTAAGATAAGTTTGCTTGAACCGTGTAGTACATTCTTACCGCTGGCGATTTTTGCTTGTGATCACTTATTGGGGAACACCGCCACCCCGTGGCGGTGTTACCCCAATTGAGGTTGCGGTGTTTCCTGTTTGTAGCGTGATAAGTGATGAAACTCCAAAGACACGCTGTATTTATGTTCGTAGATGTTCCTAAGTCGGGAATAAGCAGCTTATTTGATTTTTTACTTTATATTTTTCATGCATCCCGACCAAGCACTTGCCAGCTGTATAAAACTGGCAAACAGCTGATGAACCTATACCTATTTAGGTGTCCATTACCGATTATTTGCGAAAATTACCACTTACCGACAGGAAACTCATCGCACACGATCTCTGAACAATTAAAAGCTTTCGTAGGAATGGGTTGGGTTAACATCAACACCGGTGGCGAGGTTACCCACACAATTTGTAGGCAGCAAATATGCAAGGTATTTTTAAAAGTCGTGATACATGAAAACCTTTTAGGAGCATGCAAAATAAGTACCTAAAACACGTGAGAAAATGTTTAAATATTGTAACCAAAACAATAACTACCAAGAGACTTCACACATATTCTCTCATTTTGGCGAAAAGCTTAGGGGGCGGTGTTACCCCCGCTTCCCCGATGCCTCAGCAAGCTTAGGTAGGTCATAAATTGTAAGCGACGATGACCGGATCGGCCCGTTTACCGAAGTACACTCGGGGGCAGATTGATGTTCCACCACTCCCTACCCATCGGGCTCTCATGGATCAGCAGTGGCTGCTGCCAGTGTTGCCTGCCCTCAGCACTGCTTAGCACTGCCTGCCAATGCCAGTGCTGCCAGTCCTGCCACTGACAGCAGCCAGTGCGGGAGCCATGGGAGCCCGATGGGTAGGGAGTGGTGGAACATCAATCTGCCCCCGAGTGGGAGCCAATCTGCCCCCGAGTGTACCACGGTTCCCCTTCAGCTTGTAAGATGTCACCACCAGACGGCTGTGGGGCGGCCACTAGATGTCGGTACTAGACACGCTCCCCGTGTCCGTGGCCCAATGAGCTCCGTGTCGTGCGCGCTGTGCTAATCAGATGTGATATTGAGATGTGTTTTAATTGGTGAGTGGTAATTACTCAATACCCTCTTGGTGAGTGGTAATTACTCAATATACCCTCTGATCTGATTTGCCATGTGACACAGCAGAAGTTGGCAAAGTGATAAAAGTCACCTGGACATGCGTGGTGTGAAATATTAATGCGGTTCAGAATGTGGTGTCCGTCTTGAAAACACAAATGCAGCCCGGTGTGTCATTTCAGTTTCGATTTTCGAAGTGTCGACTGTCGAGCCAGAACTGAAGCCTCGCCCGGCGAGGGGGCGGGGTTGATACACCCCCTTAACCCTCGCACGACCAGGCCATTTCTCATAACACGAACGACCAGGGGGGGGGGGTTGTTACGACCCCCCCCCTGGCGTTTCGAAACGGAAGGTCGTAGAGCTTAGCGGAAAAAACCAACGGATTGCTCTCAACGAGATCTCGCGATTGGTGGTATATTTTTTGGTCCTAGGTCAACATTTGACCTACTTTTGACCGGTCAAAGGTCAAATTTTCGGAAAAATAGTCTTTTTTCAACTTTCCGCGGCGATTGCGGCAAAACGGTGGGAGATACCGACTTGAAACCTTCACTATCGTGTTCCTTGATCAATTCTCTATCGTTTGGTATGTATTTCGTTTCCCTAGCTCTAAAAATGGCGCGTTGGGAGCGCCGGAAGTCGGCAAGGTCACAGTCGGCGGCAGAAATTCGAAAAATCAAAATTTAAATTTTTGAAATCTGATTGTATTTTTGGATTTGAGAGGTCCATTTGCTCCCTATAGAAGCTAATATTGCTGCATATTCCCATTGAGGTGACAAGAATTAGCAAAATAGTGGTTCGGGCGCTTTTCAAAAATAGTACCGGACGCTGTTCCTCTTGTGACGTCATAGCTCCGTGACCTGACCTGACCCGGTCAAATTTCTTATACCATATGATAGCCAATACTTGCCCCAACTTGCATGGGAAGTTTCATCACGATCCATCAACCGATGTCCGTACCACCGGCAGGAAACCTCGGGCGTTGTCACTCAGTTTGTGAAAATCCGGCCGGAGGCTGTACCTCTTATGACGTCATAACTCCGTGACCTGACATGACCCGATCAATTTTTTTCGGCAAAAGATGCGCAAAGGTTGCCCCAGAGGGTATTGAAAATTTCAGCCCGCTACGACAAGCCGTTTAGCGTGCACTTTGAAAAAACCTCAGGGGGGGGGGTTGATACAACCCCCCCCCCCCCCCTAGGCGTTCTAGGGTTAAGGTTTGTCGTTAATAGCGTCAAAACGGCGGCGCAATTTGCCGGCATACCCTCTGGGGCAGCCTATTGGCACCTTCCCTGATAATTTCAGGTCTCAGTCATTTGGTCAGGTCACAAGGTTACGAAAACCGGTCAAGGTCAGGGTAAAATTGGAATAGTTGAGCGGTATTAGTGTGAGAACCGTGGCAGATAGCACCAGTGACCTCAGTTCAGGTCACAAGGTCACAAAGCCGGTACATGGTCAAAATGGCACTGAAAATACACTATTTTGTTAATGAAATCTAAAGTTGTTCATCTATTCTATTCAAACCGGCAGGATATGCTAATCTCACCTGATTGCATTCCGGTTTTTAAAATTCGGGTGACCTAAGGGCATCTAGAGGTCATGACAAATTCTGATATAATTTCGCCGAATGACTCAAATTGTAAAAATGTGCTTTACTTCAACGTGTTTGTCTTGTAATGCCTCAGTTTACATCAATACGTGATGAATTCGCTGTTTGCTTGCTGCAAAATTGCCAGGGTCGGGTCAAATGAGGTCAAATGAGGTCAAATTACGTTTCTGCTAATAACTTGGCATACAATGAGGCTAGAGCTTCAAAAATGGTGTCATTTTGTTCATGATGATCAGCCGAGTCGAATGTCACTTAATTTTAGTAAAATTTAGAGTTCACGTAAACTGCTAACAAATTATACCATTCGATGCGCATTGACGTGTTGAGTTCATTGGTGTTTTTATTTTTGCGCTATGCTTAACAGATCAAACGTTATAGGCGAAAAACATTTGACCTGTTTTAGCTTAACTTTTACATTTTTTACCCCCCCCCAAAAAAAAACCTTAATATTGATCTAGGGTCACCAAATTTGCACAGAGGCGAGATCTCCTACCCTGGGCCCACCTACCCTGTAAATGTGGCGTTTGTAAGTGCCATATGAGCCAATCGCCGGGGGTGGGCGTCGTATACCCTCCCCCCTCGCCGTCCGCGCTATGAAAAGGCCCTCGCCTGGCGAGGGTTAAGAATAAAGGTGTCCTGGCGGGTCCTCAGGAGTCAGTTCAAGGCACTTTTCAGCTCAAGTTTCACCCCCCCCCCCTTCAGTAGTGTGGTTCTCGCAGTCGCACTGTCCTGATGGCGCTGCTTTTATCTGTAATCTGACCGTCTTGCTAACCCGTTCTCTACCTACATAATTGCACTTTATCGGTCTGCCTGAAAGCGGTCTTGTTTCAGAAGCATATAATAGGTATGCATTCATTAAAAATGTCATTCGGAAAGACTACAAAGCTGTGCGATTGGCGACTGGCGGTTTGAGTTACGTTTGTTGCCAGCCCGCTAGCGCGCGATTGGCGCAGTGAGTTTTTGCAACTCCGAGCGTTGCACTGGCAATCAGCTATTCGGCCGGTCGGTCACGTCATGCTTTCTTCGACCCCACATCTTTTTATTGGCTCTTACCACTGACTGGAGAGAGTTCTAGGAAGATTATCTTATCATTCCTGTGCTTACAAAATGTGTTTCATGGCCGTTTCTCTTTACTAATGCAGATTTGTAATGTATCCACTGTTCATTGTCCAAATTTCATCCCACCAGCACGTTGTTCCGTTTTACGGTGAACGAGGAACGACGATTCGGACTTCGTGGTGAGCCTATGTGTCCACATCGCCTCTCAGTATATCAGAGAGTACCTAGCCCGTCCGCCCCACGGGCGGCTGACTGTTTAGTGCAAATGGCCTATTCGATTAGTGTGATGACTTGTAGAGATAATAAACTATCTCTGATTGCACCTATCGGCCGGAGTACGACCACCGGTGACCTTTCCGGTCCGTGCTGTGGGGGCCCCTGCCCTGCCGGACCTGTGTCTGTCCGCTGAATGAATTATCTCAGAGCTGTCAACCGGTCAGCAGGAGAATCGTCGGTGTGATACGGGAGAGATACCCGGCTCAAATGTCATTTTTCGCATACAGACACAAATAACAACGCTTTCGAAAGAAATTTGGGCAAGGTCCGATTGCACCCGGCGCCTACTGTAAAGCACTTAGCCTGAGCCTCGGTCAGTGTAAATGAACGACGAACACGGATCTAAATCAGAGCGAACTGCTCATCCGCTGTATACGAAACGGACCAACACTTTATACATGAGCATTGAGCAAAGAGAATACAAGCAATATGTACAGTCCTCAGCAGACTGCGTGGTAGGTATTCTTTTTTTCGACAAAACCAGTAATAACTCAAAGACTATGTTGTCAGTCGGTCGGAACTCACTGAAAATAGAGGCGCCATGCTCTACTCCTTCGATTGGGCATATCACTAAACAAAGTATATGCCTTGTGTGGCAACAAAATGCAAAGGTTTGTTTTGGGGGCAAATAAAAACTTTTGGGTTTTGTATCGCGAAGTCACGATCAGCGATAAATCTCGACGCGCTGGCCGAATTTCGAAGTCGAATATCTCTGGCCGAAGATCTCTGAATCTGTTCCCACGAGTTTTGTTTAGGTTTATTTAGTTCACGGTGTTTTCCGTTTAGATATCGATTTGAATATTTGAATTTAGAACCTTGGCTGCAATGAAGTGAGTATCAAATTAAATGTTTTTTGTTTGTTTAAATATTTGTATCTTTTCAGTATACGTGTTTATATCGCCGTTTCCTTACCATCAACCTCCTGTTTGTTTCAGGATGAAATTTTCTCTACTCTTGAACTTGACGTATATGTAGCTTGGTTTGTTTTCTTTTGAATAAAATTACATCGCATTGCAGCTACAAATACCTTGTTTACAACTTGAATTTAAGGCTAACAAAACATTTCATCTTCAAGCCATAACGTAACCAACTTGAACATTAAGCTTTTCTTTCCTTTTCCTTGTTTCATTGATGTAAATAAAGTAAGTTAGCAGTTATTCATCATGAGCAAGCAAGAAGACCAGGCTTCGAGATTCCCGCTGGATATGACGAAAGAAATACGAACGACTAAACAAGATCGAACCAACGCAAAACGAAAATTTACGAGAAAAACTATTGGTTTTCATGACATGATCGAAAACGATTGCCCATTTATTGCTATTAAGGATAAATTCGAAGATATCAAAGATGCATATCGGCAAGTTTAAAAATGCAATGATCTGGTCAACGCTGCGATAAACGAAACGGGACCACACCATTTAATAGACAAATTATTAGATGAATGTGATGAATATATGATGGGTGTTGAGGCAAGCATGGATGAAATTCGAACAAAATTTGCCATCAAGACAAAGGCTGAAAACGTTAAAATTTCAGAAATTCACGTTAAACCTTTAGATGCACCGCGTTTCTCGGGAAATATCAGACAATATACAAGTTTCAAGCAGGATTATCTTCGACTAATGACCAAACAGTTCGGTAAGGATTCTTATGCACTTCGACAATGCTTGTCAGGAGCTGCGCTGGAGACAGTGAAAGGCGTAGAAGATGATTACGAAGAGATGTTTCGGAGGTTAGATCTAAAATATGGAGAGACGAGAAAATTAGTCGATTCGATTATACTTGATATCAAAAGACTGAAGCCCATTCCAGAAGGCGAAAACAAAAGGTTTGTTTCCATGGTAGAAGTGGTAGAGCGCAGTTGGATGGAACTTCAAAGATTGGGCATGTCTCAAGAAATGGACACGACCACAATGGTCACCATGGTCGAAAAATTACTGCCAAGAACTCAAAAGCGGGAATGGGTAACAAAAATGGAAGAACTGAAAAACAGCAGTGAAAATTGTGATTCTACCTTTCGTACTTTACTATCCTATTTAATACAAGAAAAAAGGGTCATCGAATATATGGACGACGACGTCCGAACTTATACCGGTACAAATTCAAAATATGTAAATCCAGCAATAAATAGTCTTCAAGTCGATTCGAGCGACTCGATATCTGCCGATACGAATTTCGATACGACAACCGATGCATCGCAAACAGATGTTGTGAAAATATGCAACCAAATTCAAAACATGACTGACCGAATGGAAACTCTGTTAAAAAACCCAAGCACGAGGAAATTTACAGGTAGCAAAAAGAAGAATAACATAGATATCGAGAATAGTCGCTGCTGGATCCACAAAACGGATTTTCACTCAATTTTCAAATGCAACGCTTTCCTCAATTCCACTCGCGAAGACAAATTGTGTACTCTACGACAAAATGGAGCATGCTTCAATTGTCTTCAACAGGGACATATAGCCTCATCATGCCCATACGAAAATCAATGTGAAAAACGGAATCATTTGAATGAAAAATGTGGAAAACGTCACCACTCGTGTCTGCATTTTGAACGGCCTCCAAACGAAAACAACGCGTCCATACATTCAACTAGAAATAACAAGCGAAAATCAATGCTCGCGGTGAGCGGTGTTATTTGCAAGGACAAACGGCTGACAGTGTTATGGGATTCAGGCGCCAATATATCTTTGATTACACATAAGGCTGCATCCCGGTTAAATTTATGCAGTGAAGAAGTTGAACTTTCAATTACAAAAGTGGGAAACCAGGTACAAGCCTTCAACACGAAACGATATATTGTTCCTCTTATAGACACGGACGATAAATGCTGGCAGGTCCATGCATATGGTATCGAAGACATTACGTCTGACATCGAGCAATGTGATCTGTCTTCCTTGTCATCAATTTTTAACGAACCAAAGGTGCAAGAAATCGAAAGGCCGCACGGAAGAGTTGACATGCTGATCGGCATCGACTGCTGTGTGCTGATGCCAGACGTAGTCGAAACGGTGGGCAGTCTACAGCTTCTTAAAAATCAGTTTGGTTACTGTATTCGCGGTTGCTACGATCCAATGGATAGTACTTCAACGCCCAAGACACAATCAGTGGATATTGGTTGCGGGATAGTCGTGTCCGATATTAGCAATATGAGAGCCGAATCAATGACAAGCTTAACACAGAAATTAGACGAGTATTTTGTCATTGAAAATCTTGGCACACATTGTACACCACGCTGCGGCGGATACAAATGCGGCAAATGTGCAATGGGTAGTAGCAGTTACACCTTGCAAGAGGAACGAGAACTGACGCTCATTAAGAATGGCTTAACATATGACCCGGAGCAACGCAAATTTACCGTTCATTATCCCTGGATCAGGGATCCGATGAAACTTCCCAACAATGTTAAGGCCGCTGAAGCAAAATTAAGAGCCACTGAAAGAAGGCTGATCAAGATTGGCGCTCCACACGCAGAAGCATACAATGATCAAATGCAAGACATGCTTAGACGACAGGTAGCCAGAAAATTGTCGGAGAAGGAAATAGCAAGTTATGAAGGACCGGTTCATTATTTGCATCACCACGAAATACTCAGGCCAGATTCTGCGTCGACTCCATTGAGGATTGTATTCAATTCCTCAGCGTCTTTTATGGGCCATGTCCTCAACGACTATTGGGCGAAAGGTCCGGATGTGATAAATAACCTACTGGGTATTTTGCTGCGTTTTAGAGAAGAACAGGTTGGATTGGTTGCTGATATAAGCAAAATGTATAACTCCATCAAACTGGCTGAAATGGACCAACATGTACATCGCTTCTTGTGGCGCAATATGGACATCCATCAAGAACCTGACCATCATATCTTATTAGCTGTTGCGTTTGGAGATAGACCCAGCGGAACTATCTCAATGGTTGCTCTAAAATCAATCGCCGAAATGCACAGAGACGAATCAGAAGAAGCTGCTGAAATGATAATCAAGAACAGTTACGTTGATGACTTGATTCAATCAGTTCCAAGCGTGGAGATGGCACTGCACTTAGCTGAAAACGTGCAAAATATACTGCACAAGGGAGGTTTTGAGATCAAACACTGGATAATGTCCGGAGATGATACTGGGGGCATCTGTCCCAGCATCCAAATCTTAAGCATTGACAAAGAGAAGATACTCGGCATGTGTTGGGTACCAAAGGGCGATCACTTTTTGTTCCAAGTCAGAATAAACTTTTCTGTGTCGAAGTGGAACAAAGTGTCAGCCACTCCCGATTTAACAGAATCGAACATCGATGCTATTTTCCCTTTACGGCTTACCCGGCGAATGGTATTGAGCCAGGCGGCACGCCTATACGATCCATTCGGGTTGATCATACCAGTTACGTTGAAAGGAAAAATTCTCTTGCGAAATTTGGTCACACGACAGAGAACTGAAAATCAAGACGGCTCTTCAGCGATTGGATGGGATGATCCTATATCAGATCAAGACAGGATGGATTGGAAGTTCTTTTTTCTGGAACTACTCAAGTTGCAAGATGTGACATTCTCTCGTTGTTTGAACCAAAGGAAGCGAAAGGAGACCCAATATTAATCATATTTTCGGATGCCAGTATGCATGCCTACGGGGCATGCGCCTACGCCCGATGGGAGCTCGAAACGGGCCACTTTGAGGCTCGACTCATCGCAGCAAAAAATCGGATAGCTCCAACAAGACAGCTGACTGTTCCTCGATTGGAGCTTTGTGGGGCAGTTCTTGGATGCCGACTACGAGAAGCCATTCAGAAGGAAATGAATTACAAGTACGAAAAAGTATTTCACATTGTCGACTCAGCGATAGTGCGAACGCAAATTCAAAAGGAGTCATACGGTTTTGGATCATTTGTTGCGACAAGAATAGCAGAAATACAAAATAAGTCCGATCCCAATGAATGGTGGTGGATCGGCACAGGCGATAATCCTGCCGACATGGTGACCAGAATTGCCAGCCCGACACAAATCGGGGCCAATTCTATTTGGCAGCGAGGACCGCAATTCTTCGATCTTCCGGTAGAGAAGTGGCCGATCAGCCAAGAGTTTCACCAACAGGAGAATGAGTTACCAGATAGAATACGAGTACACATTGCGCAAGGAAAACAAGGAGATGACGCGGGCGATGTCAGCGGGTCGATAAATTTGGACAATTTCAACAGTTACGTCAAGTTACTGCGAGTTACTGCTCGCATTAGTCAATGCGCAGAAGAAAAAAACTTTGAAGGCGATAGGACGACCACTGACGGCCCAACAGCTGTCGGATGCTGAAATACTATGGATCAAACAGGCTCAAAAACAGTTGTTAGAAATAGACTGGAAAGCCCGATTTAAACGATTGGGACCAAGCCTAAATGATATAGGCATGATTGTCGTTGGACAGAGAATGTCAAAATGGCTCAAGGAAAACTGGAACACGGATTCATTCATTCTCCTGCCCAGTGATCATCGGTTCACGAAGCTTTACATCCTTCACGTGCACAATGAAACTCATGCTGGCGTTGAAGCAACTTTGGCTGCAGTTCAAAGTAAATTTTGGGTACCAGGATCGCGCAGAATCATTGATAGCATAGTATCTGCGTTATTCTCGGTTTTGTCGAAGAAAGAATACCTACCACGCAGTTTGCAGAGGGCTGTACATGAGCAAGTCTATGCGCATTTCCGACGGATTTTCTGTTGCGCTCGACCGGCAATGTTGTCTGTCATGCCGTGTGATAATGCTCATTTACTCTCCTCACGTAACATCGGTATAGCTGTCGCCTCGCCTGTCTCCCTCCGGCTTGGCTGCCACATTCGGTAGGTATTAGTGGTGTCAATCGGAACTTGAATCTTCGGAATTCCGATTTTGTCCAATGTCCGATTCGGAATTCGGTTGGACAATGACGGCAGGCGTTGGACAACTTTGGACATTCACTTGCTACACCTCAGCATTTTTATAAAGCAATCGTGTTTAACACTGATTGGCGAATAGAAAGCTCAGCTTTTGAGATGATTAACACATTAAAGCTGGTAATAGTACATTTAAAACAAATTAAATAACAGTGTTGAGTGTAAACTATTGCGTATGTTTCGGACATCTTTGGACAAATGGCTGGCTTGGACATTTTTGGACGGACAATCGACGCAAGCATTGGAAATTGGACGGACATTGGACATACATTTTCTGAAACTGACACCACTAGTAGGTATACCATCGCGGCAGTAGAACCTGGCCCAAGTAGAGTTCAGAAGCCGGTTTATTCCCGATAGCTGATAGCACAATCTGAGGACGAAATGCGATGAAGTCATCAACGTTGACTATCACCAATATTTGAACGAAGACGGTAAGATAAATGATAAATCTATGCATCATTTCCTGCGACTAACTTTGAAATAAGACACGTGTGTGACGCGCATTGACCTATAATAAGTATTATTATAGGTCAATGGTGACGCGTGAAAATAAAAATGCACTCGTGAATGGTCTATAAATGCAACATCCCCCTCCCCTTACTAGTTAGCTATCAGTCATCGTCATGCCGCCGCCGATTGCACACAAAGCAGTGGTCGCCGGTTATCGGTCTGCCTGCCCCCGCTATCGGCTGCTGCCCTTTCCATGCCGGTTCGGTCGCCCCGTGTCGCAACGGCCATCATATGACCCGGAGGGCGGTGGGCCCGGCGTCGGTCGGTGACGGGGCCCGCCGGTGCCCCGACCGACCGATCCTCCCCCTCCCCTCCCTCCCCTGGCCCCGGGCGGCGGACCGACCGGCCGGAGCGCCGCGGGTCCGTGGCTGAAACTACACCCACTGCCGGAGAGGATGACGCGGCCACAGATAAAACGGCCGCTCGGCGTGCACACACGCGTCGATCGATACCAAGGGCGCGCCTCGCCCCTTTTGGACCATTCACGTAACGGGGCGCCTTGCCGTCGCGGGAGGGCGTCTATTTGTGAGGTGGCGTCACCGCCGGCGGCGCCCCGGCTGGCGGCTGCTGACGTGTCCGTACCGGGCCGGTCACGTGACCACCTCTGCACGGGAAGAATTTCCCCGGCCGGCGGCGGACGCCGTCTTTGTTTCGAGCTGTTCGAGTTAGCGGCGGCGGCGGCGGCCGGCGGGTCGGCGCCGGCAGGGGCGGCGTCAGGCCGACAGAGACGGGCGTCGACGCGACGCCGCGCCGAATCTCGACATGCGTGAATGGGTGGAGGGCGGCGCGCTCTGATTGGGGTAGGTCACGGGCTCACGGCCGGCGCAGACGTCACGGCCGAATCACGGCTCCGTCTCGGCGGGCGGACCGGAAGCGGGTGCCGAGCGGCGGCCGGCCGCGGAGTGGCCACGTGGCCGGCGGCAGCGGCCGCAGCCGACCCCGCACCCCTCCCCGCGCCGGCGGCGGCGGCTCCGGGCCTGTCCCAACAGCTGACTGCGAGGGGCCGCGCGGCGGCGGCGTCGCCGGCCGGCGGCCGCTGCGTGGCGCGCGGCACCCGCCGCAGTGTGCGTTGAGCGGTGAGGGGTGGCGCGCGCGGATATGTCTGCCGCGAAACGGAAAGTGAACCCGCTCACCATTCAGGAGAAGAAAGCCGTCATTTTGGAGGTGGAGAACAGCAACGGACGCACCAAGTCGCAGATCGCCGAGCAGTTTCGCATTCCCAAGAGTACGCTGTCGACCATTCTGAAGGAGAAGGAGCGCATTCTGGAGCTGACCGATTCGGAGGAGCTGGGCCCGCAGCGGAAGCGGGTGCGCATGCGCCGCGGCGCCTACCCGCAGCTGGAGGAAGCTCTGTTCGCGTGGCTGCAGGAGCAGGCGGCCGCCAACCAGGCGGTGTCGGGCCAGACGATGCTGGCGCGCAGTCAGGAGCTGGCCAGGCAGCTGGGAGTGGACGACTTCAAGACGAGCTCCGTGTGGCTGGACGGGTTCCGCAAGCGGCACGGTCTGGCGGCGGCCGGCCGGCCCGACTCGGCCGACGGCTGGCGGCCAGAGACCACGCCCGAGGGCACGGTGCCGCTCACCCAGCTGCCGGCCATGCTGGACGACTACGCCGCCACCGAGGTGTTTGTGGTGGCCGAGATGGGCCTGGTGTTCGACCTGACGCCCAACGAGGCTAGTGTGGGCGCCTGTGCGGACGCAGAGCTGGCGCCGCGCCGGTTCAGTGTGGTGGTGGCCGCCAGTGCGGACGGCTCTCAGAAGCTACCGCTGCTGATTGTGGGCGAGCGGTCGGTGTCGGGCGCCAGTCAGCCGGGCCGGGTGGCCTATCACGCCGACCCGACCGCCTGGATCCAGCCGCAGCACTTCTCGGCCTGGCTGGGCAGGCGGGACGGCGAGATGGCCGCCCAGGGCCGCAAGGCGCTCTTCCTGTGCGAGCTGTCGCCGGCGCACGCGGTGGGCGGCGGCGGCCGCGAGGCGCTCCAGCTGGCCTGTATGCCGGCCAGCCCGCTGACTCAGGAGCAGCTCAGCGCGGACGGTGTGCTGCACGCCCTCAAACGCCAGTACCGGCGGCGGGTGACCGAGTTTCTGGTGGAGCACGGCCGGCCCCCGGCCGCCGGCGAGGCCGTGCAGATGCTGAGTCGCGCCTGGTGGCAGGACGTGAGCTCGGCCGTGGTGCGCCGCTACCACGCCTCGGTGGGCCTGCTGCGAGACGAGGTGAACGGGCAGCCGGCGCCGCCTCCGGCCGAGGGCGCCGCCCAGCTGGCCGCCCTGGCCGGCTCGCAGTTCGCGCCGTCCGAGGGATGCACCCTCGAGTCGTTCACCACTGCCGACAACGCGCTGCTGTGGACGGTGCCCGCGGTGGCGGGGGCCGGGGGACGCCCGCCGGCCGGCCGGACCCCCCAGCGGGGCCCGTCCCCGCCGCAGGCCGCTGCCCTGTCCCCAGCGCCCGCCGTCAAAAGGGAGAGGACTGGAGGGGAGAGAGTGGGCTCGCCGGCCGGCAAGAGGAGGCCGTCCTCCCAGGAGGCGCTCAAGGCGGTCATGGTGCTGCAGCAGTTCTTCCAGCTACGGGAGCCAGATGAGGAGCTGGACGAGGTCCTCAGCTTCGTGGCCTTTACGAAGGATAAGATCGTCAGGATGCAGATGCAGGAGAGCCGACATGACAGTAAGTCCCGGGGACGGCGGGGAGGGAAGGGGTCGTGGGTGAAGATCGTGTCCGGCGCGCTGGGTCGGACAAGGCAGGGTTGGTTTGGCAGGTGGGCGGTGTCCGAGGGAGGGGAGAACGGGGAGCCCAATTTCAGGCATTTGGGAAGGGAGATTTTATCAGTGGCGCACTTGCTCTATCCAATACTGAGGCATCCGTCACAAACTTGGTTTCTGGGCTACAAAACTCCACAGCCGCACGTTTAACGTGCAGCCGATCTGTCACGTAGAATGGCCATTGATGACAACTTCAGTTTCGCGACCTCCGTCGCGACTTCTTTCCATGAAGAAGACTTCGTGGAAGTGCAAATTTAACGAAGTTTTTTTTTCATTCATATCGCTTCCATCGGAAGTGTGATTGTGTCTGGTTGATCCATATCCCCTGTCCTGTCCGTTAGACGCGAGGCTGTGGGCTGTCAGGCCGGTTTTCAAGTTCTGATACTCGAGGTACCGGTGATGGGGCCCCGTTAAAAGTCGGATTGTTGGCGTAGTCTGTCCGGAAATGCTGAATATTCGTCTCAACGTGCATAGGCTTTGGTTGTATTTGTGACCGTTTTGGTCATACGTATGCATAATATTGCATATCGTAGGTGATATGAGTATTTCAGCTTTTGATACACGCTAACATGAAAAGTTCAAGCTAAAACTTTTCACATTTCTTGTCATTTAAATCACACTCACTCTTCACGTCTCGACCAGTCGATTTTTTCATCTGTTTCTGGGTCACTTTGTCCCGACAGGGCATTGTCGCGTACATCAGGTGGTGAACGGTGTCGTTGACATGTCAGTGCGTCGGTCTAACCTGTCGATTGTGTCACCTTGTGACATGTTAGAGGTGCCCCACCCTGCCGGTCACCGAACCGGTCAGTCCAGTCCCCTGTACCCCTCCCTTCCCCCTCCTCCTCCCCAACTGCTACTGGGTCGCCCGAGTTGGACCAGTTGAAGGTGGGCCAGGAATGGTGCACAGTCAAGTCGTATGACACATCATCAACCATTGATGTGCAATGTCGACCTTTCGTTTACTATTCCAACGATAAAAGGATGTTTGCTTTTTCCTTCTTTTTTCTTTTGCTCCTGAATTTGTCAAACTCATCATCTTTTGATCTCGACAAGGCCCCCTTTCATTTGTTTAGGCAGGTGGACATTGCATTTTGTCACCCGCACTTGTATTGCATCGATGCGTTTAGGTGGAGCATGTAACCACCATTCTGACATGCTGATTATCCCGATTAGCCAAGTCATGGTATCATGCTCCTGTTCTATGATTGATGACTTGCCAGCACCGTAAGGTGTGCCTCATGTGATTTGTTCGTTGACGGCTGAAGCCTGTAGCAACAATCAGCAATAGCACACTGCTGATACTTTTCGAAAAGCTCGCACCCCCGTTCGTTGACCATCGGGCCATTGAGTGCGAGGAGCGTTGGACGCTGTTGCTGTTGTTGTTGTGCCCCTCGGCCCCGTCACCGGGGCGTAGTCGACCGACTCTGGTATTGAGCGAAAGCCGGCGGCCAAGGCCGCCACCACGTCGTCCTGGCGTAGGTCGGGGGGTTGGCCGTAGATGTTGCCTAGTGCGTGGAGGCGGGCCCCGCACAGGCACGGGCAGCGCAGCAAGACGTGCTGCGGGGTGTCCGCCTCCTCCCCGCACACCAGACACCGGGCGGCAGGGCAGGCGGTGTCCATGCAGCCGGGGCAGTCGGGGGTCGGCCGGCGGCCGATGCGGTGGAGGTACTGTGTTGATACGCTCCAGTGGCCGGCCCGTATAGTTGATGTGCTCGTGCTGGTGAGGGGCGAACTATTGGTGTCGAGATTCGACTCATATTCATTGGGCAAGGTGCGAGTCTGACACCTTGAGTTAAATGAGTTAGGAGGCATTGAATGTTCTTCCGGTGTATGCCATATTATTACCGCGGTGGAGTAAAATATCGTCTGTTTCGTTATCTATAGCGGAACTCGGTTTACCGCAAGAAGGACCTCTCGACGCACAATGATCGGTAAAGACAGGGGTAGCAGTCGAAAGCACTTAACGCGTTATAGGTTTTATCGCGGCTAGGTCCTCGAGATTGATATTAAAAGTCCAATAAATGCTCCCACACTGATCAATATTGTTGTGGTCATGCCAGCTAATTGTTGGTTGATGGTTTAAAGGGACTATCCCACCTTTAACATGGGGTTTGAGTTGAGATAGCCAAGTTTGCGGCGAGGTTCAGAAACCACTATCTATCTAGGTTGCAACCCCCGCGGCCTCTTGGTGTTGAAGGAATTCGTTCCCTTCATTTGAAAATGGGCCTTGTACAAGGCCCTATCTTCAACATGGAGCGACCGTTAGTGTGACGTCACCTCGTTTAGTCATTCTGATTTAAATGGGTTTGTTCGTTGAAAAATCGCTTAAAACTTGGTCTGAACTTTGTTGTGGTGCCTACAGAGTAAAAAGAATCAGCTTTATGACAGTAATGTGGCCTGGGGAAGGAGGTAATTTTGGGCTGTGACGTCACATATTTGAAAGTTTGTGTTTGGAATATGGGAAGCCTAAGATGTTTAATGAAAAATAAATGCCAGAACCGTGTTCCTGGTCATCCAATCTATAAAGTCGGGCACAATTTAACGGGTTTTAACAACATTTTAGAAGGTGGGATAGTCCCTTTAACGGGTTATAGATAAATTGACATGGAGTCAGCATGACGTGTCGTTACCAGGGAACCAACCGACAATCGGCAAAGGGATGACCAACCAACAATCCTTAAACTATTTATACTGCCTAGATCATTTGTATTAGGCTCCCTGAAGGTTTTAAGCGATATTGGTGCGTAAGAAGTAATTAATCATAACCCAGGCTGCGGTCTGGCGCTGTAGTTGCAAGCTGCTAAAGGCCTGTCATGCACTGTATATGTGAACTTCACATTCGATATTCGATAATGTCACCGGCTCGTCTGCAGTCCGCAGCCCGGTTACCATGCTCCACGTCGCTCTCGCCTTCTGCACCCCGGCGCTTGACCAGTGACCTGCACCCCCGTCACTCCTCTCTGGGAATGCATCTGATCTGTACCTCCTGCCTCACATTTTCGGTACACACTCTGACATATACGACTCACGGAACCCATTATAACGCGTGTTGGTACCGCTCAACCCCTTTTTTAACGCGTACCGCTCGTCCCTCGGTACACAATTCTGACGTGTGCCGCTCGCCCCAACACGGGGTACCGCTCTGACCTGCACAGCCCGCCCCGCTCTGGGCACCTACCCTGACCTGTGCCGCCCGCCCCGCTCTGGGCACCTACCCTGACCTGTGCCGCCCGCCCCGCTCTGGGCACCTACCCTGACCTGCCCGGCTCGCCCCGCTCTGGGCACCTACCCTGACCTGCCCGGCTCGCCCCACACGGGGCACCTACCCTGACCTGTTTCCCGGCACCGCGGCCGCCGCCGCTGCCTGTTGTTGGCCGGCGGAGACTGGTTTGACCACTGCGACGGCCGTGAGAGAGCCGGGGGCAACAAACTGGCGAGCGGCCGGCAGCAGGCCAGGCAGGGGCGCCGGTCACTGCCGGCGACTGTCAGACCGCCTGTCCCTGCAGCTTTCAGTGGGCAGGGTGGGGGCCACTTTCAGACCGCGATAGGCAGGGGTATCGGTCACTGCAGGTGGCTTTCAGACCAGGGGAGGGGTGCTGTCGTGGCGACTTGCATAGCGCAATGAGGAGGGGTACTGGCGACTTTCATACCGCGGTGGGGAGGGGCGCCGGCGACTTTCAGGCCAGCACATATGAAGGAAATGTCAGCAACTTTCTCCTTGAGTGTCGCGGTCGGTGCGAGCGGTTTCACGGGGCGTTTTTCAGGACGTCGGGAGGATACTGGCAAGCGGCAACTTTCCGCTTTCTCTCTGTCGTGTGTTTGGAAGATGCGGCTTTTTAGGCTGTTTTGAAGTGTTGAATGCAAGCATCCTTAGGCTGATCTGTTGCTATTTAAATGTTAGATAGAATATGATCCGCATTGCATCGATACGAAGCTATGCGCTCTCTTGCCAAGCTTACGCTCCATTCGGTAATTGCTCCTCGGCATCGCCTGGCTACTTGTGAGACGAATAATCACATCGCATATTACCTTTGTGCTGCATCATCGCGCTGCTGATACGGCCATTCATTCACCACACCGTTGGAGACGGCCGTTTAGCGGCGGTGGCGGTTCTGGGAGTCGGACGACGGCGTCTCCGCCCGCCAGTAGTGTCAGACGGGCCGCCTCGGGCCCCGCGCGGTAGACACTGACGACAGACGAGTGACGGCTGATGACGGACCGCGAGACACAGCGGTGTGTGACGTCACCCGTCAGCCGTGACGTCACGAGGTGACTGATCACAGGCTGACAGGTAGACCACGGAGATGGGATGGGCACTGTGGGCCTGTTGGACACGATGGGAACTGGCTGGTTGGTGATAGCCAGAGGCTGAACTGTGGCTGAGTTGGTGGTGATGGGTTGGTGATGTGCCTGGATGGCTGCGAGGTTTCGTGAAATAGCACAGAACAGTACTGTCATTCTGCAACGGCGGTGTAGATGTTGCATTGTAGGGTAGCTGTTGATTGTGGACGCCGTCAATCCAAGAGTGCCTGGAAGCGGTCGTCCTCTGGCCTCTGGGCAGTCAGTAGCGGTGGGCTTCGTCGGCCTCTGAGCTCCCAGTGGCAGAGCTGCCGGCCTCTGAGCTCCCGATGGCAGAGCTGTCGGTCGCCGGGCGCTGTCGGCGGCGGCGTGCCGACGCGACCGGCCGCGTACCGTTAGGTGCCGCCGGCGGTGGCCGCCCCGACCGGCGCCGAGCCCGTCTGACCGCCGGGCACGCCAGATGTCCCGGCTCGGGGCTAGGTGCAGTTCGTCGGGACCCGAACGGAGAGGCTGCCGAGGGAGCCGGCTCGGAGGAAGGAGCGGCTGGGGCCACGGTGGGAGAGTCGGAGTATGACTTTTAAACGGATCAGAGAGATTAGAGGTGATGCGCATTGCACATGCACAATGCACATGACAGTATAATTGTGGATTTTGTGGAATATGGGTTCATGACTGCAGAATGCTTCCCACTCCACTGAATCGATTATGCAGGCTTATCTAAATGCTTTTGTATGAACCTGGAACAATAGAAAACAGCGTGTCCGTGTGATAGATCGGATAGCACGAACAATTAAGATAAATGATACGGGACTGTTGGTTTATCACAGCATGTACTGATCGTAGCAGAGACTCATGCGAGGTACGCAGTCACGAGGCCGGAAACGGAGCTCGAACGGAATGCGGAACGGAGCATGACGGAGCTCTGGGAGAGAGTGAGGAGAGGGTAGAGTGGAGCGCTGAGCCTCCACATTGGGGTAGGGAGAGCAGAGTGTTTAGAGAGCGCGGGGAGGAGAAGAGCAGAGTATTGAGCTTCCCTGGGAGCAGGAGAGCGGTCGCCGCGCTCCAGTGACTCCCACGGCTGCTGTGGTGCCATGTACCGTTTCCAGCCGCCCCGCCCCGGTCCGGGGTCCGCCGACAGCCACAGCCCGGGTCGCTGGGTGCAGCCCGGACCGGAGAGCTCGGTGGGCGGCCGGTCCTCCGGAGCCGATCGGAATTGAATTGTTTGATTTGTAAGCTGTTGTCATGGTATGCCCAAGGCCGGGTATGCCCTGGGGTATGCCAGCTATTTTTACATATATTTATATTTGGATTCCTGAAGTTAGAATAGCATGTGCCGTATTTCGCCAGTGGAAATTAATCGTCGCGCTGTTGTTCGTGTATGTGATTAATTAACGAACTATGTTGGACACATTAATTGATGCTCATGACGATAGCACGACTGCTGAGCACCGTGCACCAGCCCGTTAGCATGCCGGGAGTATTGGTGCAGCTCAGATCTGCAAGTTGTGCTGATGCTATCATTTCACCTCCCCGCTGTAACAGACAGCTTCCATACCTAATTAACTTGCTGTAAACGAGATCACATGCTGCTTACAGCTTACCAAGTAGGTATAGCGACTCCTCCGGTAAATAAAGGTTGCGAGCGTGCGGATGTGGCGCTGAGGCCATGGTAACGCTCAGTTGTAAGATGGTGGGAGCGCTGACTCACTAGGTCGCTTTTCCTTCTGCGCTCCATGTCGTCCCATGTATGGCAACTGTCCAACACTACGCAGTGTCATCGACCTCACCGGATTTATCCGGGTTTTCCGTGCGTTCGACCGGCGACACAACTGATTCGTTTGCACCGGACATGCTCGTTGAGAAGTGAGAACTGTTTTACAGTGCTACGTCAGGCATTTACGCGTTATCATCGGGCCACTACTTGCTCCGTAAGATTTTTATCAGCTGCTAGCAACTGCGAGAGGACTATTTACACGGGACGTGCGCTCGGGCCTTAGGTCTGTGCGTTTGGTGGTCTGTTATGTTGCTTTGGGTACGCGTCCGCGTGGCCTTGGTCGCTGAAGGCTCGCTCGGGGCGTTTCGCCAAGGTTTCGGAGCGTCTGGCGAATCTCGCTGGGATAGGAGTGTGAGACCTGACCATCAGTAACGGTCCGGACCACCACGGCCGACCGTGAATCCCGCCGCCTAACGGAGACACGCCGTTTTACGGGCTGATCTGGCCACTATATCTACACTTTTACCTTACTATTTAACGCTCGCTGTTTGAGGGAGATCGTTTGCTCAGCTGGGTGATATGTCAGCGAACTGGGATGTTCTAACATTTCCCACATTTGACGGTCCTTTGAATCCTGCCATGTGACAAAACCATTGCAATTGCTTCGCAAATGCAGATGGTCACTATTGGTCTCCGTGAAGTGGGGCGCAACGTATTGTGGGGAATGTCAGGAATGTCTCCCACGCCCTACGTGTCTATCTCCTAAGCCCTACGATATACCCCGGGCCGGCTATCATGAGTGCATGCTGTGTATGTGTGCATCATTATTTGCTCTATCTGTTTACAGACGGGCTGCTGAAGCTCAAGAAGGAGGTGAAGACGGAGAAGTCCGACACTCTGGGAAATGTGAAGTTCGAGTCGCCCATTCTCAATATAGACCCCGATGCAGATCCAGATGGCTCAAAGGAGTCGATAGAGGCAAAGGTGAGTCATTGTGCACTAATGGTAGAGGGTAGTGGGTGGTAGATATAATAAATAGTGGCCTCTCGAAGGCCAATGCCACATGACAGGACGTTTCCTGACTTGACTCATACGGGACGTGTTTTTGGGATTTGCCGCCAAGAAGTGTCGTTGAACCATTTCCGTGTGTCAGGTCGGTGCTGATCGGATATTGATTGTGGTTCAGTGTTATCAGATGTCGTCTGATTGACTGTTATTGTTGAAGCGTGCTCCATGGTGCTACTGCTACGCGTATTTATAGGCTACGTTACTGCATTAACCAGTGGAGTTACCCAGGAAGAGCTTTTCGTGCCTTCGTGCAAAATGGCCAGTGCCTATGGCCGATACTCTGAGAACGCGAACCTGCAGCTCTGAGCTGGCACCACCCGTGCCAGCTCAGAACAATGTCTCTGCCAATATAGCGTCGTTATCAAGCCGATGCTGACACGCAACTGGCAGCAACCACACACAAACTCTGCTTTTTCATGTCTCGAAAATGGATGTGCTGCGGTATTTCCGGGTTTGGTTTTGCGATTGTCAGCCCTCACGACATCTGTGGCGATTGCTGTCAGAGGCAACATTATCCGACACGATCGTATCGGCTTGGGCTAATGCAGCACGCAACGCAGTAACGTTTTCCTGCTACCTATAGGCGTGACTGTTGGAAAGCGGGCATTTGGTCTAGAGGGACATCATTTCCTTTTTCTCGCAAGAATTATATTTGATCTTGTATTCCCCTCGATGGAAAATGGATGGAACGTCTGTGCCTCCAGGTCGCTGGCCTACTGTGTCTGTCAGCACTCGTCCCTGACGCCCTGTGTCTGCCGCCTCTCTTTGACGCTCATGTTTCTGTTTGTGTTGACGCCCCCCCCCCCCCCCCCGCTGCCGGCAGCCGTCGCCGCCGGTGCGTGCCGTCTCGGACCTGCTGGCTCCTAGGAAGGGCGGCATCCGCGTGGGCTCCCAGTTCCAGGCCGAGGTGGCCCCCGCTCCTGTGACCGGTCAGACCGAGTCGGAGGTCACGGCCAAACAGCAGGTCCGCTGGACGCCGGAGCACAAACTCACAGAGCAGCAGATCAACCAGTTTGTCCAGCTTACCAGGTGAGGAGCGGGGGTGACTGCTGCGAACAGGGGTGACATAGACTGCTACATGGTGATCAATGGGCGGTTAATTAGATTAGGTATCTCATGATTGCAAACGTTATATTTTTCAGTGAAATTCAGACGTGTTTGTGTATGTAAATGTTTGTTATCTATCATATAATTTGGCGTCGAATATTGTTAAGGGACGATTTCGCGTCTTAATTTTCACCTTTGTTTTACCTTCCTCTCATCGTGCGTGTTAGAAACGTTCTTACAAAAACAACCCTCTCATATTTGGAGTCGAGGGCTCTATCTCGGAGTCAGGTGTTGTACTCTTATCTCGGCCCGATCTGATCTGATCTCTGTGCTGATCTGATCTATGTGTGCCCACAGAGCGGTGGGGATGTTCGCCCGCGCCTGCGACGCCGGCTCGGCCGCCACCCAGCCGGGCATCCACGTGGCGGCCGCCAATGCCTCGCGTGACGTCACACGAGTGAGTGGGGTGACGTCACCGGCCGACCCTGAGCCAGGCCGGCGCACTATTGGGGTGGGACCGCCGGCGCCGTGAACGAATGGCGTGTGTTTTGTTGCATGTTAGGGAATGTAAATTCTGCTGATAAACGATGTCTTCTGTACAGAGGTCTATGGTATTCTATATTTGCGATGTTGTATGAGGTATCGTGGTATGTCACAGCATCCAATGGGGTTCGTGTCCCAGGTAGACCTGATGAGAGGGAAGGGACGGAAGATTGAGCCGATAACCGACCGTGGCGAAATGCTGTGGGAACTTTCGCTCTATGGGTGCTGGGTATTGCGGCCGTTGGTGGCCTGAGCGTGTCCAAGGGGAGATCTAGATTTCACAATTCGCTCGACAGGGAATGAAGAGTTTACTGCAATTACTATTTTCGGCGTATGAGGAAACGAAAGCAACGCAATCCATCACGTTTGCCAATTATGCAATCTTATCGATCTGCCGTACTGGCATCGCATAGGTATCATGAACCTAAAACAATGGTAACATTTAGTGAATGTTCCCCATTGTGTGACATATCTCTACCCGATGTGTCCGCCCGCGTCCCCATGTTCACGGCCCGGTGGCCGTCCCGGCAGGCACACGCGATGGACGTGCTCCACCGGCACGACTATCAGCTGGCCGAGGCTCTGACGTCATTGGTGCCCGAGGGCGGCCCAGTGCTCTGCCGCGACGAACTCGAGGACTGGTCCGTCCACGAGACGGCCCTCTTTGAGGAGGCCATCGCCCGACACGGCAAAATGTTCGACCTGATCCGACGGGAATACGTGAGTTCTTATTGCGGGGGCGGAATGCTGATCGGGCGCAAGTAGTCGTACATTGCTCGGTCCTAACGGAGCATTAGAATATAATGCCGTGCAAAGGTAAAAGCGATTACGTCAGGTAGGAGGTGAGTTACGTCAGGTCACCCTAACCCAGAGGTCAGAGGTCACCCTAATTTAGTCGTTTTTGCCTTTGCACGGCAGTTTGACGTAGTGAGTCTGATGTGCGCTCTGAGGTGTTACGAAGCAATGTTTTGCTTGTTCGATGCTTTGGCACAATAAGTTGTTGGTGTTTTTCATAGGCCGTTTCCCTTGCAGCTTCCGTGGAAGACCAGCGCCCAGCTGACCGAGTATTACTACATGTGGAAGACCACCGACCGCTACGTCCGGCGCCGACGAGCCAAGCACATCGCCCGCCGGCAGGCAGCGCTGGCGGCGGCGGCCTCACCGCGCGACTCCGCCGCTCCGCCGGTGAGCGCCAGTGTCGCGCCGCAGGGGGGCGCCAGCAGTGCTCCGGCGTCGGGCACCTCCAGCCCGCCGGCACCGTCACCAGCGGCCGCGGCGGCCGGCCGGGCCGGACCGGCGAACGACGCGCTCACACTGCTCAGTCCGATGCTGAACGCGCTGGGCACCTCAGTGAGCATCGAGCCGGTGGCGGCCGGCTCTCGGCGCTCGCCGGAGCAGCGCGGCCGGGCGGGCGCCGCGGACAAGCCGAGCGCCGGAGTGCGGCTCAGTGGCGAGTGCAGTATTACGCCGGTGCCCGTCAGTCGGTAGCTGAGCGGTGGACGCGGACGGCTGGACATGTGATCGGTCAGAGTGTGAGCGGTGAGAGGCTGAGCGACAGCTGGTGAGAGGCTGAGCGACAGCTGGTGAGAGGAGTGACGGTTCTCCAGCAGCTGGTGAGGACAGCTGGCAGCTGCGGCGGCTGCTGGCGGTGAGGTTGTGTCGCCTCTGACTCTAAGGAGGCCGTCTGTACCTGTGGACTGAGGCGGCGGATGGGCGCCGGGTGCTGCTGGGAACGGCCCTGCTCGGCGACAGTACAGTGTCTGAAGACAGACGGACGGAGACGGTGTTTTAGGGTCCAGCCGACTGGAGAGGCCGTGTCGCCCGGACGCCGCGGGGCAGTGAGGTGAGAATCCCTCGGAGGTCGCTGAGCTGCCCCCGTCTAGGGGCGGCAGCGCCCGTAGTGTTCTCGTAGAGCTGTGCTCTGTATTACGCCTGTTCAGTGTTCGCTCATTATTCCTTTGCAATAAATGAGACGTTTTGGTAATTGTAGTTCCGCCAGCTGCTTAGTGCTTCCATGCGCCGCGTATGCTCGATATGCTAAGTAGTATAGTGGTGATTGTAGGGATTCATTTCCACTGTTCACTGGTTACACATCCACAAGACAGCTTACTTGGGTAGCGTTAGTAAAGCTATATTCTGTTCTGATTGTCTCGATTTGTCATCCTGGGACGGCCAAGCCATTCTGTGCTGCCAACTCATCTTGCGCGGACAAAAGCCAAACACCACACGAACACTCTCCGAAAATCTGTTTAACAAGTGTATTTTCTGCCTGAATACGAACACAATGCATTTTTAACCAGAAACTAAACGAATACGCTTTTGGAACGTCCAACATACCCTATTAAGCTCATTCACCAATGTCCAGCATGGTAGTGCGTCATCCCCCCTCCCCCTCCCCTGGTGAGCCAGCACGTGCGCCCTAGTCACATCTCAAAAATAGTCCCCCGTGCGCGCACCGCGCCCAGTCCGCTCTGCAGCCCGGTTCACACCGTACTCAGCCCCCAGAGCTGCCAGAACGTCCCACAGGGCTGCCAGATGGTCACTGTGTGACCTGTCCTCTGCGCACCCACCGTCCGTCCGTCGACCCCACGCCACAATTCAAACAACAGTGAGCTAAACAAGTTCACCACTACCGGCGCAGGGGCGCGCGCGACCGGCATTGTTTTGATTAGGTGGTCCTCTCTCGCTACGAACGCCTTATAAAACCCGCCTAAGCCGCTCGTCGGCCGCCGAGAGCACAGCTCTACGCACACGGGAGGAGAGAGCTACGCATACAAAATTTATGGAATGCCGTTGACTGTGTATGGATGCGACCGAGCGACATGGGGAGCGCTACGGCTCCCGGCGCGGGCGCAGCTACGGCCAACTACGGCTGCCGTGCTGCCGGGTCCCGCCCGTAGCGCGGTGTTTGACGCTGGCACAGCCAATCCTGTGGCCACCGGTGGCGACAAACTGACAAAATGTTGGGGGGAAGGGGAGGGCGTCCAATGAGATCCAAAGAGGGCGTCCCTCGGGAAAGGGAGGCAAGGATTTGCTGAAAGGAAAGCTGTTGTTTTGGTACAGCATAAGTTGCAAGTGCTAAAGGGGTGTCTGAAAGAATGTCTAACAGTAATTCCTTGGTCACCGTCGCGAGTATGCGTTGGTGCCTCAGTGAGTTCATACGGCCTGGCCGATTGGTGGGTATTTGGTATTGGCCGTCCTCCAGCTCACCTTGTGACCCTTTCCCCAGCGCTCTGAAGGCCTCTATAGCGGCAGCTTTAGCTGCCCCTATGAGAACTGGCTCCTATTTTCAGCCGACCGGACCGGCACCGTGGTCTTCTCCCCCAGGGAAATCCGCCCTCTCGGAAATACCAGCATTTCATTTTCGGTGTGATCACTGCGGCCAATGACGGCCTGAAGTGCCGGGCTGATGGGTCCTGGGGGAGGGCGCGTCACACGGCGAGCACACGCCGTCGGCGGGTTACGGCCTTCGGACGTCGAATCGGGCTGAAAATAGACTAGCGCTGGCCAGGGACGGCAATGCTGCGGCGGCAGCAGCGGCGCGGCGCAGGCAGCCGCCGTTAGCTGACCTACAGGAATGAACCCACGCCCCTGTGACTGACTTCATACACACCCGCTGCAAGCCACTCATAACAATCGGCCACACTACATTTGACAACATTAGATATACACCTTTGTGCTCGTGTTCGCCTACAATGTAGAGCATATGTATATGTCAATGTATGTGGTAGCATGTCGACATGGTCAGGGCTCGTAGTATCAAAAATGCTTCCCGCGCGGCCCCCAAGCAATCGACACACACATTGTCCCGGGCGGCGCGGCCCGCGCGGACGCGGCTACATGTGTAGATACATCGAAGACTGTTCCCTGCCCCGCCCACACACAAAACACAACAGAACGGACCATCCGGCCGCCGCGCCGGTCGGACGGCCAGGCCGCCCTGATTGCGCCACCAGCGCCTCTGGCGGCGGCGACTAGTACCGAGTCTGCGCGTGGCTGCCGCCAGATGCCGTGCGCTGCGGGGCCGCCGGCCTCTGACCGCCCGTGCCGTTTTGTCTGTGCGGAGGCTTTACGCACACGTAAACAGGCCGGTAGAGGACCACGGCGTCGCTGAGGTCTATTGAGCCGTCGTAGACCTGCCCGAGCTGGAACTCTGGGCCGATGTAGGCGCCTCCCTCGACGTGGTCGCAGCCCACCTCTGCAACAAACGTACAAACAATCACTACAGTGACGACGCGCACCGGCGAATGGAGGGAGAGCTCAGCCAGCACAGCGAGCCGCAGGATTATTATGATGCACTGCGCTGCAGTTTTAGTTTGTCGTGAGTGTTTGGAGTATTTCGTGGAAGCCGACGGAAGCAATTTGTGGGATTTCGTGCCCGGCTGAGGCTGAGAATGGGTCGACATCAGGTGTATGAGATTTGAGAGGTACTATGCAAAGGAATGAGTGTGCAAGACGTCATGATTTCAATGCTGGCTGGGAGCTACGCGTTTGCGGGTTACGTAACTTAAATAGCATTCATTCATTCATTCATTCATTCTATCATTCATATAGCTCGTCACCCGTTCAGTCATCAATCGGGCCGTTTGTTCGTTCCTTCTTTCGTTCGTTGGTTTGCTCGTTCATTTACTCGTTCATCCGTTCATTCATTCGTTCGTCCATTCGTGCGTTCGTTCTTCTGTCCATCCGCTTATCCGTCCGTGTGTTGGTAGGTCGTTCTTCCCTTTCGCCATTCCTTCAGCCATTCGTTCATCCATCCATTCATTCATTCATTCATTCACTCCTCCATTCGTCCGTCCGTCTGTCCTTCCGCCCGTTCGTTCATTCGTTCATTCGTTTGTTTGTTCGTTCGTTCGTTCGTTCGTTCGCTGGCTCGTTCGTTCGTTCGTTTGTTGTAATGCGTTGGGGATGACCAATTGCGGTTGATTGATAGATGTCATCGTTCAAAATAATTGCCGAGCAATACCGCCGATCTAGACATGTTGAACGTTAGGACGTTAATATTAAGTGGGTGCCTGACGGCAACTGATAGCACTAACCCCATACATCAACATCCAGGCGATCCAGGCTTTAGGATAGTCACCGTGGCTTTAGGTAGGTACCTACTGCTCGCTATTTTTGCTGCTGGGTACGCTAACCCGTATATTAAAGCCGTACGTAACCCGTGGTCACCTACCGTAGTGTATGCTGGGCTGCTGGTTCGAGTTCGGGATCCGGAACGGCACAGTGGCGATGGTGATCGGAAAGTGCATGTGCAGATCGTCTCCGGAGCGCTCCAGCTCCAGGTTTACCTGGAACAGACCCGTTGTCATGACGACGGTCGATGGATGCCTCAACAAAGCACCGCATCGGGTGACCGCCAGTGCGTGGTGGGCAATGGGCGAGCGGGCGTCAGAGCAGGGGTTATGAAAGCATAAAACTCCGTCCACCACCATCATGCAACCACTTCTACGAATACCTACATCACAATTCACACGATCTTAGAATATGCGACCATGCTGTTCAGAACAAAGTTCGACACAAGAGAAGTTATGTAAGGATCACGTTATGTAAGGATTATACATCTGAGTTCGTACTCGAATTATGCGGTCAACTCATTTCTTCCAGTGAGTCACATCGTTTCAACGTCTAGCTCGATATACAATTATGTATATACAATTAATCGATATGTATCAATTTTCGTCCTCCCCGTGGCCTAGTGGATAAGGCGTCCGTCTCGTAACTCGGTGGCAGCGAGTTCGCGGCCGGGAAGCTCCACGTCGTTTGACCCGCGTTACTATATTCAGCCAGCTGGCAACTGGCGAGAGAGGGCCACGCTAGACCCGGGAGGACCGTGCCGCCATCTACCTGCGGCACGTTAAACTTTCGATCCAAATTATCACCGGTGAACCGGGCGCGGGCGAGGTTGGGTGGTGGGTCCGTGGTATCATTCGCAACAAGCACTGCTTAGCGGGGCACCCGGGCCCAAAGCCACCCATTCAACCATTCGGACAAAATTTCTAAAAAAAAAAAAAAAAAAAAAAAAAAAAATGTAATTATGTCCAGGATTGGCAGGTGGTCCACATTGTCCCACCCATCCTCTCAGTACAGTCCCGGCGCTGGGACGGGACTGAGAGATCAGCGCGCTGTCCGCCCGCTGACGGGCCCGTCGGCTGCGTCGCGTCGGTCGTTTCCGGAGCGCCGGATCTGCTCTCCGGAGGACTACGCAGCTGGCGGAGCAGTCATTACCAGGCGAAACAGGACTCTGAAGGTGGACGGCGGCCGCCGGAATCACGGGGAGTCCCGCGAGAGCCATGGACGAGTTCCTGGCACTCGCAGAGTGCGCGGGAGAGTCCCTCGCTGGGTGTTTCGCCGAGTCCCTGACAGTTATCTTATCTTACTCGTATACCTGCTCTTCGGTTGCCGGGTAGCTACTGCCGAGCCGACCCTTGTCATTTGTCTAACCAGGGTCGGATGACTAACAGCGTCCGGTAACCACGGTTACAGAATGATGCGCAGCGCATGTCCGCCCCGAGACGCTGGCTTGTTAACGAACGTAATAAAAGTGCTCGTAATTATGGTACGGCTGTCCGGACCGCTGATTGATCGCGTCTGTAATGAATAAATCTTCATTTGGTCCCGCATCACCGTTACACTACGTCATCAGATTTGTGGCACCATCGTCATCGTCACAACCATTTTCATCTCCGCCAGCACCACCATATTCACCACCATCTTCACCAACACCAGCACCAGCACCAGCATCTTCACCAGCACTACCACCACTACCACCACCACTATCACGCCGTTGCCGGCGCGCGGGTCCGGTTCGTCGAAATCATGATCAGCGCCGGTGCAGCCGTCGGGGAATAACAATAAGCCGCGTCCTGTACCGATGGAGACTGGAGGGGATGCGGGCGATCAGCCGGCAGAGGCGCGGGGCAGGAGGGGAGAGGAGCGGAGGGAGGAGGAGGTCGTGATGAGGCAGAGGAGAGGAGGAGGCAGAGGGTGGGCCTGGAGGAGAGAGTCGGCTAAAACAAAGGCTGGGACGACAGAGGCTAAGAAGCAGGGGGTGCCGGTGGTGACTGGGAGGAGCCGAAAGTGGGCGTTGAAAATAAGTCGGCGCAGAGGCGGGGCCCCGGAAAAGGAGTAGTGGGGTTTAGGTAGAGGGAATGGAGCGGCAGAGGCAGACGAGAAGGCGGCGTAGTTAGACAGAGGGCAAAAGGAGCGGCGGCGGCGGGGGCAGATGGGAAGGGAGTGGCGGAGACCGGTGCTCTGAGTCCGCGGCCATGTTTCCCGAGGACCGTTGGGGAGCCGTTTGGGCCGCGCCCGGCGGCGGTCCGGAGACAGCCGCGGGACGGACGGCTCGTGTCGGCCACGACCGGGCCGCCGAGTTGGGCTGTTACACGTCACAGTGACGTCACTGCGGTGAATTACACAGTGACGTCACCGGGTGAATTATGGACAGCCACCCGCTCCAGAATGGCTACAGAAGCGGCGGAGCGGGGAAGGCGTATTTATGGGATTAGAAGGTTACACCGTAGGGTGAAGGCGAGAGGTGCAGAACGAGAAACTGAGTACCGAACAAGGGTTTGAAGTTGATCGATACTCGACTATTACTTCCATTGGCAGACATGAATAGCTCGTTACTCCGAAGCAAAGAAGGATAGGAGAAATGGAAACCTTACCCACACACCTCAAAATGTCCTGCGCATCCCACCGTACTACGGCACCTATAACAATGATCAAATGGTATATGAAACTAAGTAAAATGGGTTGCGCATTTATTGAATGGTATTCAACAGGGCCCCAGCTGCCGTAATAACTCCTGCATCTGGCCATCTAATTTAACGTCCCTTGACACGCCTCTGGACAGACCCCGTAGCCTCTCCGCGGTCTCAGTAGCCTCTGCGCAGACCCGGTAGCCTCTGGGCGGACCCACCTTTAGCACGTAGTAGATCTGCATGAGCCGGCAGACGCCGACCAGTGTGGGCGGCATGACGGGCACCACCAGGCTGCTGGCGGAGTCGAACTTGGACCGGGTCAGCGGCGGCACCCAGTCGCCCAGGTACTCCAGCGCCGTGTTCTGCAGGTCCTTGGTGACGCCCAGTACGCCGCGGTCGATAAAGTACTCCACGTACTGCCGGCAGAGACGGGCGGGGTCTCAGAGACGGACGGGGATAAAGTACTCGACGTACTGCCGGCAGAGACGGGCGGGGTCTCAGAGACGGACGGGGATAAAGTACTCCACGTACTGCCGGCAGAGACGGATGGGGTCTCAGAGACGGACGGGGGCTGCCGACTACAGAGACGAACGGGTTGCAGGCTGCAGAGACGGGCGGGGATAAAGTACTCCACGTACTGCCGGCAGAGACGGGCGGGGGTCTCAGAGACGGGCGGGGATAAAGTACTCGGCGTACTGCCGGCAGAGACGGGCGGGGGTTTTAGAGACGGACGGGAATACACTGGACGGGCGGGGGCTGTACGGACGGGCGGATATAAAGTATCCACTGCTGGCACAGAGACGGGCGGGGGCTGGGAGGCTGTACGGACGGGCGGATATAAAGTATGCACTGCCGGCCGGCACAGAGACGGGCGGGGGCTGGGAGGCTGTACGGACGGGCGGATATAAAGTATCCACTGCCGGCCGGCACAGAGACGGGCGGGGGCTGTACGGACGGGCGGATATAAAGTATCCACTGCCGGCACAGAGACGGGCGGGGGCTGGGAGGCTGTACAGACGGGCGGATATAAAGTATCCACTGCCGGCACAGAGACGGGCGGGGGCTGGGAGGCTGCTGCAGAGCGGTACGAAAGTCTCCGCCGTCAGCGGAGGGGAGATCACCGGCGGTAGGTGGCACGACAGGGAAATCAGACAACATGTAACAGCTGAAAAAATGGAATGGAATTGGAAAGTAAGCTTTCTAGACCAAGTCATGGGATTGAAGTAACTACCTGCTACAGCTAATGATTTCCCTCTGAGGAAAAAACGTAAGAGATGCAGGTTTATGAAATGCCAGCGGGTCGTCGAACTATCGACCGAGAGATTGGTCATGTAACCAGTTGTCAGTTCGATGCCACTGAAACTAACAAATGTCCCGTAACTCACGATGAAGATAATTCACAATCACATATATCAGACCCAGATCAAGACAAATTTCCAGCGGTCCCCAGAGCGACTCAGAGCGGCGGCGCATCATAACGGCATAGCTCCGTGCAGTTGCAGCCTTTGGCTCGCGCGCCGACCCAGCCGGAGCCGGGGTCATTATTCTCCAGTCGTGTCTTCTTCACATGTCGGCGTGTCTGCCGTAGCTGAGTAAGGAGGTGGGGGGGGGGGTCATCTGCGGGTCATGACCTCTGACTGGTTCCTAGTAAGGCGCTTATACCGGCTGTGATCACAGACGTGAAGAGACTGAGAAAGGCACTAATGAGTAGTGACCTTTTGTGCAGGAAGGATGAGGGGACTGCTGTAGACGGCACTGGACAGCTCGGCAGGGACTGCTGGGGATCGCGGATGGGCTGGCCGGATACAGTTTCTGCGGGACGCAGCTATGGTACCGCGGCGGCGGCAGAGTGGCACTTCCGGTCCCGTCGGCGCCGCCGCTCCGTCGCCACCGACGCGGGAGGGGGTGGGAGGGAGGGGGCGTGGAGCATCTGGCGGGGACGGCGCGGCCGACGCGGACGGCTCCTGCCGCCGAGTTACCGTGCCCGGCAGGCGGCAGCTCTGGAAGGGCGCCGTCAGTTCCGGACGCTTCCCGCCGTCCCTGGCCGCGTCATGACGGACCATGGTAGAGCTCTGTGAGGTTCACGAATTTTGATACAACCGTAACTGCTTGTTTATGCGCATGCCTATATATAAACAATATGCTGCTTTTGCCTTACGTAAACCAGACGTTTCCATCAGTAGCGGCGGAACAACTTCAATTAAGGGGGGGGGGGGGCACTGCCGACTTTTGGTCCGGTGCCCCGGTGCCCTCCCCGTTCCGCCGCCTATGGTTTCCATTACAACTATGGAATCATAATTTTCATACCGAAATCATTTTGTTGCATCAAATTTTAATGACCGTACTGCTACGAAAAATAAAAATGTAAAAAAGGCACGGTCTCGTGCCTTTCAAATACTATGCATTGTATTTTTTGATTAACTGTCATGCAAAATCTATGAAAATGTTTTGCTCTCAACAATGGGCACGATTGCATTTGCAGGCCGCACGCCGTTCGCCGTCGTGGAATTGGATTCGCTTTCCCCGGCATACGGTTCTGGGTAAATTGAGTTAGCTGGCGGACGTAGAACACCGTGTGTAAGGTATGGTGGTCTCAGAATTTCCCCTCGGCCGGCACAGCGCCATCGATCTCAGGGACGTCCACAGCGAAAAACGCGCTGTGAGCAGACCTGCGGACCGGCGAGCGATCGTAAACGGCCCCGTGGGATCGCTGCTACACAGACAGAAACTGTCACTGGAGAGGGCCGCGGGGTGAGTGGTGATGGCGCCACCACGACCGACAAGATGACTTCTCCGGGTCATGCGCAGTGGCCAGCTGTCATAAGTCGAAATAAATTAACAAAAACAAAAATATCGGTTTGGTCAGATTTCAGTACTACCGCGGTCAGAAGACGTCCGTGGTTTTCAAGTGACCGGCACTTCAGTCCCCAATGGCGGGCATCGCTAAAAGCTGTGCAGTGTTCCACCATGACTGTCGGCGGTTTAGTGACGATCTCGACGGGCCAAGTCAACAAAGATAGCGTGCCGACCTCTGGCCAGACGGGCTTCAGACGGCTATAGTGTACCCCTGCAGTCGGCGAAATGGAGCAACTACTCGACGGGGATATCATCAGAGGATTCCGCAGTAGCTCGGCCTGAAGGCTGTCTCGAGTTTACAGGCCTCCATTAACTACTAGTCGCTCCCTCGTGGATTCATCCCTAACTCTCATCGAGCATATGCAACGCTACTTGAACTGTCGCAGTACTGTCGTCGACCGTCATCCAGACGACCAGAATACAGCTGCATCCTGCATGGAGACCTGATATAGCCTCCGGAGCGCACCGTTACAGCCGACCCGGCGGACATCCGAGGCACGACCCCAGCTCAAAGGGCCGCCTTTGGACGGCGGCGGCGCGGCTGACCTTTCAGAGCCCGGACTGGCCCGGAACGTGAGCGACCTTACACCGTCCGAAATCCTCCCGGGAGCCCGGCTGGCGGAGACCGGCGTCCGGTCGGGGGTTACGTCAGGTGTCATCCCCTTCCCACCCCCGCACCCCTTCCCCCAACGCGGGCCCCACCCGCGTGCCCCGACCCGGCCCCCGGTATGAGGGGGAGCTCGCCCAATCTGATTACGCCCCGCGCTATCGCGGTGCATACCGAACTCGGCAAGGTCAGGCCAAGGACGCAGGGCGTGCCGGGCAGAGCGCCATGATTGGAAGTGCACGGAAGGGTAATGGTGTGTGCTGGTAAACGTGGATCGCCGATAGTGTGTAAAGTGTGCCTCGCATCATTCATCAACAACCTGACAACATCAATCAAGCCATATTCTTGCATCACCAGCCGGTATTCTTAGAACGGCATTCAATTTCATTCCGTCCCTGCGATCCGAGCCCATCTTCATCCGACATTTAATTTTGTCCATGGAAGTGCAAATAAATTACAATAAATAAATCCCAAACAAATCTCAAACAAACCAAATGGGTTTTCTCTGAAACTAGCCAGACCACATCGTTCGGTGTGTATCTGCTGCCGCAGAGCTCACGGCGGCTGGGGTTGGAACCTTTCCATATCAGTCGCGCGGCCCCGGAGGTCAGTGTGGGGGACGGGCGGACGCTCGGCCCCGAGCCCGCCCGTCGGCGGCGAATGGTTTCATTTCCGTTTGGAAGGCTTTAGCATCGTCTCCTGGTGAAATATGAGCACTCTCTGCAGCCCAACAGCGGCCGTAACATATACATGCGCCCCTTTAAACTCAGCTTCCGCAGAACGATGGCATTGTCCCGACTTTCAATTGTCTAACGCACGATTCTTGTGCCGATCCATTGGTGGTTAGAACGCTTCGATCAATTGAACAAATTGGGAGAGAGAGAGAAAGAGAGAGAGAGAGAGAGAGAGAGAGAGAGAGAGAGAGAGAGAGAGAGAGAGAGAGAGAGAGAGAGAGTCGACTGACCTGCACCAATCGGATTTTGAGCCGGACGGCCTCCTCTCCCTGATTGTCGATGTCGGCCTTCATTTTGATGCTCTCCCCGCAGACATAGGCCGACCGCTCCAGCTGCGTTCGCAGAGAGACGGGCCCGCGCTTGCAGCAGAAGCAGCAACTGGTCCGCTTGTCCTGTCCCACCATCGGTTTCTGTAGAATGACAAATGTTATAAGACAGTCTATTGTCCACACGCAAGCAATTCACCAACACCTACTCGCTATCTAACTTACACGACAGACACAGGACGAGTATCGGTGGAGATATCGTTTGTCTTCATTTAATTTTCATTGGCGGATCAGACCAATTTAGTACAAAGTTAATCCAACTTGTCTCGATGCATTAGCGATAAGGAATGAAGTGCGGAAGGTCAGGGGAGATTGCATTGCCGGAAGGCGGATATTGCACGCTAAATGATGTATGTTCATAAAGCCGTGTGCGGCTGGATTGTCAAACCGGGAGTCTGGGTGTACCGTTTTATTGGAGCAGAATTTCATATCGCGAGAGCTTTGGCATTCACATGCCCTGGTTGTAGTTGTTAGCAAGATTGAGTGTTTCTACATAGAGTTGCGAATCACACGGGCAACATTTCCGTATATCACCGTTCAATTTCACAATATCCATGTGCCTGTTGGGAAACAATGTCCTCACCTTCTCCATGGAGCTGGGGGTCCCGATATCAGATATAGTATATATCGGTGAGCGTCTGCTGCTGTGTTTGATTGTCAGCTAGCGATAGCAGCGCGCACTTATGCTGATTGGTCGTCTGTGAGCTGACTGACTCTCCGCACTCTGTCCCGATTCTAAATCGGTTTTATATATCTGTCGGCATCTCGCCTACCGCCACAAATATTGTGAGAGTCCTTCCGAGGTTGTATAATGAAATTAAATACGTTGCGAAAGGAACCCCCGCTTTGTAATGAGTCGTGTGATATAACAGATTGGTCCAGCCACAGGTTGAACGTCTAATATCCTGTATATCAGTCACGTCCTGCCCTGGTTGCCACGAGGCGCTGCTATACGAACAGAACCACCAGAACGAGGGCTGCGTCATGCCTGGAGTTTAAATTTCCCTTCTCAAATGGACGGTCACGTCAAAATATTCACATGAAGTAGAAAACTCAATTTTATAACGGTCAGGATGCAGACTCTTCCGCCTATGGACCTTCCATAAAAGTTCGCTGACTGTCGCCTTTTTGCCTGACTGTCGCCTCAGGCTGTCCGTCGCCACAGCCTGACCGTCTGTATACCCGCTGACCCGAGTTAGTGGCGACAGACGACCATGAGTGGCGGCCTCGATAGTCTGTCCATTGACGCGTGACGTCGTGATCGGCGCGCCTGCGGTCAGCAGATATCGGCCAATTACCGCGCGTCCGGCCGGCCATTCTGTCCTCTGATTGGCCACGCTGAGTTCGTTAGCCCGTCGTCGAACAGGCGGCCAGTGACGGCGCTTGACTCGCAGCGCTGCGGAGCGAACTGCTGACCGGATCGATCCCGACTTAATTACCCGTAACCTTGGCCGGATTCCGGATTGCTAGCGGATTCAATGAACCTGCCAGAGCGTCAGCCAGAATGATTTCATTTGTGACCGAGTTAGTGCGCCGGTCGAGAAGGTTCTAATGAAAGGCGTGTCAGCGAACCCACTGGGATTTCGGAACACCTTGAACTGGTAACCGTGAGATGTGCAGTTAATGTGGCATTCAGATTGACTTGCCAGCGTGATGTAAATGAGGGGATGCCTATGTTTGTGTGTTTATGCATTGGTCAATAACGTGTAACGTGTTCTCTTGTGGGAACATTTCATCATCATCCAACGTTTTATCACATTATTTTAATTTTCGGCAATAATAGAGAAGCATTTGTTACGCACGCTTGCGATGTCAACATTCAAACACAGTTGCGCACTCCACACTTGCCACTTACCAGGTACTGTTCGTCCATACAGTCGATGTGGGGACCAATGATGGTGAAGTACTTCATGCCTTGGGGCGGAGACGCGTATGGAATGTCTATTGTGACCTGAAACACAAAGAAGGTAACCACACGTCAGCTACCACACATCGAACATCGATAGTGGTTTAAGGTTTTAACTTGCACACGTCGAACTATTTCCACAGCGCTCAAACAAGTCTGACAAATACGAGATTGCAATGAAATAGTCAGCGGTGAATTGGGTATATCGGTTCGCCGTCCCGCCGGCGCCCGAGGCCGGCGCGAGCTGTTGACGCTCCTGTGTGTCGGAGTCGGCTGCTATCGGCGCCACACACGCAATGTTGATCTGACGGCAGTCACGCGCCGACCGACACTGTCGATGGAATGGCGTGTGTGACGGGTTCACAGCGCGTATCGGTACCGTACCTGATTCACAGCTCAAATACGCACCGTGCCTGCAGGTGTACATGATCTAAAGGTAATAAGAGCTATATGTAGTTAGGATTTTAAATGACCTTTTCCTCGATAATTAATTGGAAATTCAATAAAAAGTAAATATTATATTGTTTGGCAAATTTTCGAACAACAGTTCATTCTCAAGCCACATGACATTCTCAAACAATTGACAACCTTGTTGTCAATTGTTTCATGACATTCTCAAACAATTGACAACCTTGTTGTCAATTGTTTCATGTGGCTTGAGAATGAACTGTTGTTCGAAAATTTGCCAAACAATATAATATTTACTTTTTATTGAATTTCCAATTAATTATCGAGGAAAAGGTCATTTAAAATCCTAACTACATATATCAAGATGTTCCTTGCTAGAGCACTGCATACTATTTCTTCGTAATAAGGGCTATTCTGTGAGCAAAAAAGCCGCATCTCAAACAGCCACCTGACTACCATAGGAATCTTGAAACTTAGCTCGTTACGCTTTTAGCATCCTTAACAATTGTCTAACCAAAAGGGCGGTTACTGAGCAGTTTGACGAGGCGGGCGGCTCGGTCACCTCCCCGGCGCGGAGTGAGGCCCACACAGCAGGCCAGGCACGATTCCATGTCCGCCTCAGGTCACCGGGGACCGTCTGTACCACGAAGCAGAAGGCCCCTCGTGGAGCATGTATTACTGATACCAACGGCCGTCGGAATGTAACGCTAAGGTCAGCAGCCGTTTGACCTTGGCAAAGGTCATCAAAAGGGCAGCCGTGCTCGGATGCTTCCAGCACAGGTGCGTTCCAAGCAGCGGATAGTTTGTTGGTCGCTTTTCAGAGCTCGTGAACTCTCTTCTGCGCGGCTGTTGACAGGACTGGGACCGTGTTCGAGTGGTGACCGTCGCTGGCTGTCCGTCCGTCCCGGCCGTGCAGCCTGAGCGAATGGAGTGATCCAGTGCCGCCCCCAGGCTGACTCTGTTCACCAGTTTCGACTGGCTTCTTATTGGTGCTGATGAATCCTCGGCTGTGTTTTGAAGGTCGTGCTCGTGTGTTCAATATTCGGAAGATTTTAAGGTTGTAAAAAGGGCAATGCCAACAACAACGTCGTTCTGGCTCCCATTATAACGCGGGCTCTCATCGATCATAGGGTTCAATAAAAGCGCCTCCGAAACCCTAATTTTTCTGTGCAATGCAGCAACAATGCTCGTGTTTCAAACCATGTCCCATCGATCCCGCTGAGCGCATCGGCCCGCACACTTGCTGCTGCCAGCTTCCCAAACCATCTGATAGATGGCTCTGCCGGCTGTGCGCCTGAAACGTATACTAGCCCGCAATACTCCAGCCAGTATTATTTACACGGCCAGCGAAGCGTGTGAATAGCGCGGATGAAATGCGCGATATAAGGCTATATTGTAGCAAAGCAAACAGTTGCGAATGCAATATGAAAAGCAAACACTACAGAAACGCGCACGGATCGGTTGTCTTGGGATGGAAGCCCATCGAGTCAGCACGATATTTAGGTACCTACTATCGTTCTCTTCTCTCTTTACTACAGTTCTCTAAACCTGCGATTGATCATTGAGCTGTCGTTTATTTTTTGGTAGCCTTCGCGTGCCTTCCTTTTCTATTCTAACGCAAAGCCATCCCATTGTTCGTTTTTATCCTCGCATCCTCCGTATGTCGGAGGCTGTAGGCTGTAGGGTCCGAATCCCATCTCCTAGGCGACTGGCACTCCTCAGTCAATCATCAGGACCATGGTGACGCCATTGGCGCCGCGAGCCAACCACGTCCTACAGGCCGGGCCGGCGCTGCCCGGCGGCCGATACCCGTTCTGCTGAGCCCTCATCGGTGCAGCGCACGAGCGGACACCACGTCGCCGACACAATGGACGGCAGCCATCTGCAGCCATCGGCGGCGACGCTTATTGAGCACCCGTGACGTCAGACGGGGGATATTTTCACCGCCGGCCGGCCGGGCAGACGATCATCAACCATTGATGGCCGTTGACGGCTCTGCAGACAGGGCGGGGCGGCCAGCACTGACAGCGTCACAGCCTCTATACAATCCACAGCTACTGCTGTTATAGTCCACAGCCAAAACCACTTTAGTCCTCAACCATAGTCGCCACAGTCACAGCCGCCAGTCACAGCCTCCACAGTGCACAATCGCTACAGACACTATGGTGCACAGTCCAAAGCCATATCCGCCACAGCCGTTAGAGTACATCCGTAGACGTCACAGTCCTGAGTCCACAGCCTCCACACCCACAATAGCCGTAGCCGTCGCAACGACAGCGCTGAACTCAGTCAGTTGCTGACGTCACGAGGAGAACAGCGAATGGTCACTGGAACTGGCTTCAATAGCGTGGAACAATTCAGAGCCGTTCCAAACGGCACAGCTGGTACGCCCAGAATAGTGCAATGGTCGCTATCTATTTTCGTACTGGTTATAGTTAACAAATGGTAGGTACGCTAAAAGCTCCCGCTCCATTTTCGTCTTTGCCATTTTCTTACTTCGTTACCCATTTCACCACTGTCCTGCCTGCAGCGTGGTAGCAATGTGTGTGACCAGTGATGCCATCTCCTGCACATGATATCCAATCTAGTCGGCGACGGGGACACTTTGTCACCCTAATGGTCCTCTCGGCCCGGTAAGTAACTCTGATGTGGCGCGCCGCGCCTCCGCTCTGTTGTGCAGGCTTGGTACCACTAATATGTCGGCTCAGCAAACAATCACAGTAGCTGCTTTATCCTCATTCGGCGCAGCCACATTCGAAGAAAATTGTGTATTCTCAGCGTAAGATATTTGACAAGCTGTGCTGTGCGGATAATATGCGAGATTCTTAACTCTTAGGTAAAGCCCTGTTGCAGTACATCGGACATTATTGTTTTTAGGATGTTATAACAAGCTGGAGCTGTGTGACAATGGACATAAGCCCGATCAGCGATCGGGAACTACCCAGTAGATGGGAGAATTTAGCGTCAAGCGCGCTTAGCGTCAAAGGGGCTTTGCAGCTGGTCACAGTCCGAACCGCTGGCGGATTTCATCTGGCCTGTGTAGCGCTCCGAGTGTACTGCCGCTGACCACAGGCTTTCCCCGCCGGGTGAGAAAACAGGAGCGGCTCGAGAGGGGTTCTCACAGGAGCGACTTGGGCCGCGCTCTCCCAGCAGCGGTAGATCCGGGCTGTCTGGAGCGGCGGGTGCTCTCAGGAACGGTAGAATCGAGCTCTCTCAGGAACGGCGGGCTCTCCCAGCAGCGGTAGATCCGGGCTGTCTGGAGCAGTGGGCTCTCCTAGGAGCGGGTAGACCCGGGCTCTCTCAGGAGCGACGGGCTCTCTCAGGAGCGATGCCAGTCGAACTCTCACAAGAGCGACTTGGGCCGCGCTCTCCCACGAGCAGTAGATCCGGGCTCTCTCAGGAGCGACGAGCTCTCTCAGGCGCGATGCCTGTCGCACTCTCACAGGAGCGGCTCGAGCCGAAATCTCGGAGCATGCTAGAGCTTTAAGTTTTATCATAGCTTACTCTGTCGAACAACCGCGCAACATCCAGCGCAGACGATGGAGTTAAGCACCCTGTTGTTTGTTTAGCTTCCACTGAAAAAGCCAAGTTCTCCACTAATCATATTTTCTGGCGCTCAAGAGATATGCAGATGAGAAAATGTCATCAAACTTTGCACAGTTTAGTTAATAGCTAACGGACGCCGAAGTGCTGCATGCAAGCTTCAGCGTATAACTTAGATTCTTCACATAGCAAGAATACTAAATGCATTTTTTCATCCAAATATTTGTCATGCAGTGATTTAAATTTTCCATTAGTATCTCTTCCGCCTCGCTGTGCATCTGTCAGCCACCACGGCGTCTGCATCAGTGGACCGACCGCTGACTTTGACAACATCCGCCCTGCTGGGAATCGATGTGGTTCGTTAAGCCGTCCCGTCCCAATCAATACTGTATCTATCCGGCGCGGCGCGGCAGGCGAGGCCAGCTGCATTGTGGGACGCCCGCCGCATGTTCTGCATGGTCGGCGTGCAGTGCCGGGTTACATGGAACGACTCGTAAGAGTCACAAATGGAGCACTGACGAGTCACGGAACTCATTGGAGGCTGATGCTTCATGGGGTCAGGGAAGGCTCATTGCTTTGTGAGAGCAGGAATGGCGAATATCGCCGTGATGTAGCTATAAAATTATGACACCAGCCTTCTTAGTTTGTATTTGGCTTACACTTCACTTGTTTATGTAGCTAAAGAAAAGTTCGTGTGCTTAAAAATATTGCTGTGGGGGCCAACTTTCGCGGCTTGAGACGATGGAAGACTGAACAGTAATGCACTTCCGGTGCAAGCAGTACCTATCTGCTCTGCCAGTTGGCCGCACAACTTCTGGTTTACGAAGGAAAAACTGGAGCGCGGCCGGCAGCTGCCAACGGATCACGGAGCAATTGATTCCGAAGTGTCTCATAAGCCACGCCTGGCCGTTTTATTGGGCTGTCGGCGGACAGTGCGCGGTCGACCGGCGGCGTCGGACCGTCATCTCCGTACCCGAGGCCGGCCAAGAAACGGATCAATGTGGCAGGGCGGCCGGCGGCGCGGCGACCGGTCAGTCGGCTCGCGCCGGCGGCTCGCAGAGGTCCCGCGCCCACCCGGCTTCCCACACACAGCCGCTCGAGGCAGCGCTGGCCCGGCGGCGACGCCACCTTCTCGCTATATCGCTACACGGACTCGGCTCGGCCCGGATCGCCTGTCTGGGCCGGGGTGGGCTCAGGCCCGGCTGGTGGCGGAGGCGGCGCAGGGGGGGGGGGGGGCGCCCGTCCGACGCTCCGGCAACTTAAATCACCACCAACTCAGAGCTGATCGCGGCCAAAGTTTAGGATTCATGCTATGAAACACACGAGCTGGAGAGTTAATTCGTTTTGAATTGCTTAGCGCTGTGAGTTCGAGCAATTTCATTTGGTAAATGTTTGCACGCGCCACGCTGTTTCTCCTGGTGTCATTTATTCGAAAGTTGAACAATTATCCGGCGAGTTTTTACATATTTCAAGAAGTGGCCGCGTTTGTGGACCTGAGATGGAAGCAGCCTATGCTTCAGTTCCGGACAATGAAGCAAGAAACGATGAACTACCTAGAGCAGCGAGCATGTTAAGAAGTTTCGACTCCGGTTCACAGGCTAACCCGGATTGCCGCTATAACTGGCACACTACCAGTATAACGCCTTTTGTGGCGACTAACGGAGCGAGCGAGAGGGTGGGCCTTGCACGTGCGAAATTGCGAGGGGGTACCTCCAACTGACTTGTGCACGGCACCTTACTAACCGGTCTCTAACGATGTGCCAAATTTGAGCACAATCGGCCCAGCCGTTCTCGAGATCTGGAAGCGGCACCCTGCACGTACGCACGTGCAAAATGGGTCCCAACTGACTTGTGCACGGCACCCTACTAACTGCTCCGTAACCGTGTACCAAATTTGAGCGCAATCGGTCCAGCCGTTCTCGAGATCTGGAAACGACCCCTGCACGTGCGCACGTGCAGCAGCACCCCAACTCTGGCACATGGATATGCATTGCCTAGTGGGTGCCTACCGACATACCAACTCTCAGCGCAATCGGCCCAGTAGTTACCGAGATATTGCAACAATTACAAAAGTGACACCTCTTCGTTTTGCACGTGACACGTGCATAAGGGGTCACCCACATGCATCGGGAATAGTGCAATACTTGGTAGAAGGAATGAAGCTACCCTACAAAAATTACCGCATGTAAATCGGTCAAGTGGTTGCTGAGATATAAGCCTCGCAAAAGCGTGACCACGGCCGGCCGGCCGCTCATACTCAGAAATTTCCGTTAATCTAAGGAAAGACTACGCTCGCTTCGCTCGCTCCGTAACCAGAAAGGCGTTAAGTGAGCTGTCGGTCGCTTGTTTCTGCGTCACTCTAACTTTATGTGTTTCCGGGAAGCCATGGCACTCTTGGAAAGCTATCTGAATGTCTTGGCTTGACTTAGTTCAATATTCTCATGTCCTTAATGTGCTTCTGCTTTGTTTTTTATTTTGTAATTTTACTTTGTGAGCACCTGTGACTTTTGCGTGCTTTTGAGCACTAAATGATACCGATACCTCTCCTTCCCAAACACATGCACGCACTAAACCTTATGTTACGTCAGTCTTCCATCAACCCTCTCTCACTATCCTCAAAAACAATATTCCTAGAAAGTCAGAAACAGTATTTCTCCTGAACCCAGCGCTGGCAATAAAGGAACATTATTTTGTCGTCATGAAGTAGGGAAATGCTTTAAACAATTGAAAGGGGCAGTATATTTGCATAATGGCTTTATGCATGGGGCTAATGTGGCAGTAGAATGCATTTCAGCGCACAGCGGCGGGCAACGAAAAACGGGCTCGGCTGCACATATGGGGCAAATTAATTCCATGGGGTGTGGATTTTAGTGGCCCAGCTGTTTATGACCAACAGCTGAATAAGCCGTTATTTGTTTATGGACGACAGCATAGTTGGAAGAATGCTGAGGATATATATAACCCTTCCTGTATTATGAAACCCAGCGGACTTTAAAAGATAAATTAGTTATTGAAACTTATCATGCAGAGCACGATCCCAAGCAATGCTTCCGCTCCAATATACAATTAACAATATTTAACCATTTAACCATTTACCATTTAACCATTTAACCATTTTATTATTTAACCATTAGCTATTGTATGTTTTTGTGTCCGATATCTTGTTGGTAACATTGATGGCAAATATACTATATTAAGGCAAAAAAAAAAAAATAACAATATAGTGTAAAATAGCTCTCCGACGTTTTCAATGCAGTCAACTCAGCCATATAATCAGGCTTGGGACTTTGAAGTACACCCCAGCTGATAGGCTCCATCTTATCAAAGGATGTGGAGGCTGAGCTATCGGTAATAGGAACCGTGCTGACTGGTGTGCCCATTGCTTACTGTCCAAGTGTCCAGTGATCATTGCCTTCTATATTCGATGGAATGCCATGTGTAAAATGTGGTACTGCCGCCCAATAGCCATTCCACCGAACACCACTGAAGTTCGGTGAAAACGTTGATGTTTAGCTTATTGTAGGATTTGATTATGATACCATAAATTTTTAGGGAAAATAACACACAGGAAATTGCTTGTCATGGTCTTCAGTTGAAGTCATATTTCATCTTCATCTTTGTCCTTTAATGAATGAATATGTAATGCACGAAGTGCCAGGAGATGGTGCCGCCTGCGATCTTCAGAGTGCTGGCGAAGAATCAGCGGCCGTATTCCTCAGCCGGCAAGTTTGTTACATTATGGTGCGGCAGCGTTAGCGGACGCCATTAATTTCACGCCGAAGTTATAGACGGAGTGATAAATCCGGTACGAGCTGTCCGTTCCAAGGCGCCTCGCCCTGAGGACACACACCAACTTCGCCTGGCGCTACAACTCCGGCGAGACGACACAAAGTCAGCGGGAAACGAAAAATATCGACCGAGATGGAGCGCTTCTTGGGGGCAGCTTCAGCCAACGAAATGGGCGAAATGCTCCGTAATTATGTAAGCATCGAACTAAGTTTAGTGTCGAGTTCATGGATTACGTTGGTATTGGTAAACTCCTTTTTATGTTACAAGAATCTATAAAAGGTGGAACACAGCTTTCGCGAGGGCAAATCGCTTCTCGTTCATCCCATTGTAATACCTGGCATATTCTTTGCTCCCAGCCCGCAGCCTGAGGCGCTGTCAATAAGCTTTTTAACAAGAACGAAACATTGTAAAAGCTCTGTTTCAAACAAAGTAATTGCGACAGAGGGCGGGCCTCGTATTTCCCACTGACGTCTATTGCGATTTTCTAAGTCTCTGGCTGAGCGCGGCTACTGCAGATTGAACACAACAACAAAGAGCATTGGGCAATTTTCCGTCTATGGCGCCAGCGGCATCGCCGTTGCACTGGCGTCCTATTTATTTGACCTCTGCGGCCTGCAATGATCGTGATCGGAACACTAGGATGACCCACCAGCATTATTTCTGCGCGTGAAGGAGGCACGACTGTAGAGGGACTAGTGGCCAAATAGATCACTTGGCAGCGTTCGCTAGCCACTAGGCAGCCCTTCGTTCACAAGAGCAATTTTAACTGGAGATTCAAGTCAAGTCCATTTATATCTTCAGGCTATAGCTTGGGACATTTGCGAGCAATCTGTGTTTACATTACGGAACGGTAACGGGCAATACTACATATAAAATGAAATTTCCTCTGCTTTCCTTGCGAATGCGGCAGAAATGACCTAAACACCACATCCCAGACACCATGGAGCAAAGGGCACAGGCATGTCCCTGTGTAAAGAGTCAGCACCCAGCCGGTCTCTGGCGTTTGCATTGCTGCCCGAGCGGCCTCTGCTTTCTACGGCGGCGGGGAGGCCTCATTAATAAATCAGAGGCGCGTGACGCTGGCCTGTCAGCGCGGCCTGTTGATGGCATTCCGCCGTTACGCGGCGTTACGTGACGTTACGCTGTTACGTGTCGTTACGTGACGTTATGCGGCGTTACGCGTCGTTACGTGACGTTGCTTCGTTGACATAGGAAGGCCAGCGCCGGTCCCCTCGCGCGCGGAGCGCCGCTGGTCGGCGTCCGTGAGTTCTTACAAGCACAGAGGACGCAGCACTGCTGCCACAAAACAGAGCGCATCGCAAATTGGATCAGTGGATCAATGGGAGAAACTGAGGCTGTCAACAAGACCAAATCTGCACATATCAGAGAAGTCAAAGAAATGTCCAATGTCTGTTTTTCTATCAAGCCCAAAGACGGTAGACCAGACTTGGTATAGCGCGGAAGCAAGCAGTTACCTAATGCCTATGCTCAATCAAGGTTTATTTTGGTTGGTATTAGGGCGCACAATTCCTATTTCAGAGCCCTTACACCTGAATGGCTGCAGGTTGAGCTTAAAACAATAATAAGAAGGCTGTCACACATGAAACAGCTTTTCCAACCAATCTTGTAGATTTTTTTAATAAAATGGAGTAGAAAACATGTTATCATAAAATAATAGCGCTGGTGCCAGACGATTTTCACGGCATTTTTTTACGGAATCTTCTAGAGATATTTCCGCATGCAGTCATCGATGATGAGCAGGCCGTGCATTGGCCTGCTTGATATGGACGTTCAATTTAGCTCGTGATTTATCTACTCTATCGGTCCTATCGATTTCTCGTCTCGGATGCGTCTTAAATCAGAGTCTGGCGGCGAGAACGATGGCAATGCCGAAACATTCACCAAGCTACCTGATCGGTGATTTAGAGCGCATCCGTTACCGCCAGTCCGGTCAATGTTTGACATTCAGTCGAGCTACTAAATTATCATGGTAATTACCAGTGTTTCGTAGGTACCCTAATATGAAAACAACTGAATTTGCTGTTTTCGCTAATGTGTGCTGCTGTGCGTATTTAATTCGTGTATACCTAATGATGCACAATTGGCCCGTTGGGACTTACCTTTATGTAGTAGCGAATGGTGCTGGCTTTGCTCTCAAAGGAGCACGGCAGGGAGCTCTCTGGCAGCTGGAATCGAAATGGAAACGTGTGGAACCCGCGTGGCAAAATCGGCACGTTCCCCTCCGGTTTGTCTGAAACACAAAACAAACAGCATTATAGAGCATGTCGAGGATGGCATGTCCACTCCTCCTGAACATCGCATTTCCTTAAGTAGCTTTATGCACAACAATTTCCGTGGATAATAACTTGGAGAAGACTAGCACTTTTGGTGGTTAGATGCGTTTTTTTTCTCACTATTTGACATCAAATGTGATATCGGCAACGTTTTCTGCTGTTGGCTGTCGGACTCGGGACCAAGCCTTGTGCCGCGCTGCAGGATGCAGCTGAGCGGATTTTTCGCCGCTTCTCTGCCGTTGTCGTGTTCTAGCCGCTGTCCCGCCAGTGCTGAGCCAGCTCCGATTCTTTATCAAAGTTCGTCAGCAGGCTGCGCCGAATATCGGACGCCTGAATCGCCGCCAAAGTGGTGAGGATCCGCTGAGTGCGCTTTCAGGCCGGTGCTCCGCCTGTCTCCCTCCTCTGTTCTCTCTCTCTCTCTCGCTCTCGCTCTCTCTCGCTCTCTCTCTCTCCAATATATCTAGATAAAATTAAATAAAATTATCTAATACTGGTAAAAGGGTCGTATATCTTAAACTTGTGTGAATCAATAATGACAAACTGTTTATGGTATATGGCTGAAACTTTACTGAATTGAAATAATACCTAAATGAATCAAAAAAGAACAAAATAGTGCCTCGTTTTGGCTCTCTCCTCTAAAATTCCAGGCTAAAGATCATGCCACTTCTCCTTTCCGACATTTCAGAACAAATCACGGAGCTGAATGTTCTCCCGAGGACATTACACATGGGCGGGGAACGGGATCATAAAACGGAACTAGATCATATGCGACGCCGACCGAGGACGCCATTTTGGGACCGCTGTTCACCGATGAGAAAATTGGGTCCTTCCGGAAACCGCCACTCATCAATAAAGAGAGGATGAATCTTCGCTGTCACTTCCCCGACAGCCGCTGTTAAAAATGTCCGACAGGCAGGAATAACTTATACCCGGCGGGTATAAAATAACGGCTACAATCGAAAGCAGGTTGCTTGTTTGCTATAGTCTCTAAATGCAATGTTCAAGAATGTTAAGTCTACTTTTCAACGCAAGCATTGACTATTTGTTCAGTTGCGTGGGAAGTGGCAGTATTTGCTATGATTCGGCGAGCTATCGAGTGCCGTTTTCCCTGGCTGGTATGGTGGCGGTAATGGGTTTTGTTGGTATTATTTGATCCCCGTGAGATGGTTTGCTAGATCTACTTGCGATATTTTTAGCAGCTGTGCGTATTCATCAGCTTACTTTAACGATTATGGCATCCAGGCTGATCACCAGGATGGCTTTATTCTGGAAACAATATCAAAATATTGGATACATACCAGTGTTTCTTTTATGAATTTTGTCGATAGCAATAGCTGGGGTCGACGTCCCATCGCATCATCAATAACTTTATTTTGAAGACAGCGTCGACTCCTTTCGCACCTATCCTGGTGAGTCGCACTGTTGCTCAGTGGCGGCGGAACACCTTCAATTAAGGGGGGGGGGGGCAAGATTACTTTACTACTCGGGGGGGGGGGGGGCACTGCCGACTTTTGGTCCCATTCTTTCCATGCAACGCCCATAGGGCTTATGTTAAAATGCCAAACTTAAAGGGGGCACGGTGCCCCGGTGCCCCCTCGTTCCGCCGCCTATGATTGTTGCCGAGGTGTCGCGTCACCTTCCACGTTCCCTGTCACCTGTGTTCGGGGTGAAATGGGATTCGACGTACCCCGGCCGTCTCCAGAAGACCCCCCGGCCGTCTCCGGACGACACCCAAGCCGTCCCCAAACGCCTCCCCTGCGTCCCGTTATGAGCCCCGACCCGACCCGGGGACACCTGCTCACTCTGCTGGGAGCGCGGCCTGTACCGAGCTGGGCTGAGGCGCAGGGACCGTTATGACCGCGTCTGCCATGCAAATGGTGCGAATTTCCGGGTGGTTCATCTTCTAATCCCGAGGTGAGGCCATCTAGAGATGGGATATCTTAGCAAGGAACACATGTTCAAGTGACGTGTGGTGCGGCCGAATTAAAGCAGCTGGAAGAAAAGAAGACATGCAGTTGAACAGTCATGGGCACTTAGAATTAATTTCTTCAAGGAGCCGCAATGTCGCCTGTCGGTACGCGGTGAACGGGTAAACGAAAAATTATATGGGATACGGGCGAATTAAAATGTTTCAGCCAATAAGACCAGCCAGGTCATGTCGAATAATTTCGTCTCTAACATGATTGTTTTCTGTTTTATCGACATTCAGTTTCAGATTCAATCACCACCCGAATGGAACCTATTATGTTGACTGCAATGCCGTTGAATTAAAGTAAATAGCATCCGATTAATCATTTCTTTCAATCGGGCGAATGCCGATCGCGGCTCGATATCTGTCTGTTCTGTACCATAATAGCCGCTGTTCACGGATCCGGCGGACCCCGGGAATGCCGAGCTCGTTTGTCAGGGCGTGTCCGGCCAGCCGGCCTGTTCAATCGACGTCCGCTCACTGCCGCGGCTCGCCGGTGATTGGTCAGAACTGCGAGCACGTGCACAGAACAGACAGCAGCGTGCCAATCCGGGAATCGGACCGGCCGCCGCTACCGTCCGCACGCGCCTCCAGAACAGAGAGACGCCAGTGGGCCATCCGAGTGTTGGGCCTAGACAGGAGATGTGTATTACTCGGCCTCGTATGAGAGAGCTAGATTAATGTTGTGCCGAATACGCACAGGACGGGCGCCCGCACAATCAAGGTACTGTTATATTGCAGTTAGGCTGAACTAGAGCCGACGGGGGCATGATAAATGTAGCTTTGTGGAAACTACTCCAGGAATGGCTGAGGCAGTTATGAAAGTCGCCATTGTTTTAAAGGTAGTGTGCCAGCTTTCCTGGACCGTATGGAGTTAATGGCCCAGATAAGGAGAACCGGATTTTTAGAACTTATCCATACCTTCAAAACTCATGGAAACGTCTTAAATTCTTCAAATTTTGAGTACCCCAGTGCGAAATTCGCCCCGACGGGTTGTCGGTCGTACCCCAACCACATTTCACACCACTATGAACAATAAATGCACACACTGAAATCGCTATTACCGATATGCTCATCCAATCAAGTTTCGATAAACCCGTTCATCATCATCTCCTGCGGTTTCGAACACGCCTGTTAGGTGGCTTCTGATGCTCGTCGAGGTCGGAATTTCCAAATACGCGTGGTGCGTCGCGCCGCGCGCTCTGACTTCGGCCAAGAAAAATGCGTCAGCTGATCATTGTCATTTCTGCCACTTGCGTGTGGTGAAATGGGGTCATAACTTATAAGACGGCTTTTTCATATCAATTATTTTACATAAAATCATATTTCAAACCATAAATAATGTTCGACAGCCAAATAAAAGAAACAATACCAATACGGGCTTACAGTTTAAGGCTCGACATTGTGTTGTCTACGATTAGACAGCTGATAACTCATTCCCGTACGTCGTATGGTCGTAACACTATAATGACCTTTGCTTATTGTCACAAGTGCGCCGCATTCGCGATTGTTGCCCGACGCCTGTTTGCAGGTGAGCCCACTACAGTTGTTATACATATCTAAAAACCGAAAAACTTTTAGGCGAAAAAGGCACTATTCCAGGCCCATTTTTGATTTTTTTTGCGATATTTGGTAAAAACAGAAGCTTCTTATCCTAGGAAAAATAAAATGGGAAATCTTTCAAAGGTGGCACACTACCTTTAAGGAAATCATAATAATATATCAATCAAGCACCGTAATATATTCACAGTTTATTCGTAAAAATAAAACTTACTTTATCTGCTATTCCCATAAAACATTTAATCTTACACCCTTCAACTTTCCATTGAATAGTTAATGAACGCGAGAAAAGATAACTCTGTCTCTAAAGTTATCACAGCGGAATCAATTGCCATTCACAAATGAGTTCCATTAGGTCTTCGAGTAGTTCGTCAAAAAAATAATGATGAACGTGACGATTCACGACTGCATGGCACGATTTATTGCTGGTTCAAATACACTCAAAAGAAAAAACCAATTCTAGAAAGTTAGTCACAAACACATCGGGAAGTGTTTCTAATTGCATTGTAAAAAATGTGTGCAATTATATACCAGTAAAACGCCTTTTGGGCGAAGAACGAGCGAGCGAGATAGTGAGCCCTGCACGTGCGGAAGGGCGAGAGGGTACTTACAACAGGCTTGTGCAAAGCACCCTTCTAACCGGTCGCTAGCGGTGTGCCAAATTTGAACGCAATCGGCCCAGCCGTTCCTAATATCTGGAAGCGGCATTCTGCACGTGCGCACGTGCAAACGGGGACCAAAATGACTTTTGCACGGCACCCTACTAACCGGTCCCCAACCGTGTACCAAATTTGAGCGCAATCGGCCCAGCCGTTCTCGAGATCTGGAAACGCCCCCGGCACGTGCGCACGTGCAGTAGCACCCTAACCGCAACACATGGGAATGCATTGCCTGGTGGGTGCCTACCTGTATGCCAAGTTTCAGCGAAATCGCCCCAGTAATTACCGAGTTACTGAAATGGGAACAAATTTGGTACCTCTTCTTCTTTTTGTATTTTGCACGTGCAGTGGGGGTCACTGACATAGATCAAGAGTATCCGACCTTTCGTAGAAGGTATGCAGCTACCCTATAAAAATTACCGCAAGACTATCGCTCAAGCCGCTGCTGAGATATGGGCCTCTCAAAATCATTACTTTTGCAAAACTGCTTGAACACCCTTGACTTTTCACGTGACACGTGCCACGACGGTCACTGAAATGTATCAAAAGTAGTCAATTACGGGGTAGAAGGGATGGGGCTACCCAGCAAAAAAGACCGCAGGCCAATCGGTCCAGCGGTTGCTGAGATATAAGCCCCTCAAAAGCGTTACAGGCCGGGCCGGGCCGCTCATACTGAGATTTTTCCGTTATATTGAAAAGACTCGCTTCGCTCGCTGCGCTCGCTCGCTCGTAATAATCACCTCTTTTAGGTACGTACCTACAGAACCCGCAGGGGTAAAAATAAAGCGATATGTCACGCAGTATTTTCTTGATTCATCGGTTTGGTAGAAATAAAATACCAATTTCTCACTTCGATAAAATGTAGATTTGCGCCTCTCTGTACATCACTCTGTACGCTTTGCATCAAAATGTTGCTGAATTAATCGTCTCCATCGTGTTACAAGCTGAAACCAGTATTTCGATCCCAGACAGATATGACGCCGTTCCCTTGCGGCGGCGTCCTTACCTTTTCCCCAGATGGTGGCTCGCTCGTCGATGAAGTACTGGTCGTCTTTGACGGTGCGTTTGTCGCCACTGACCACCACCTTCCATTCTGCGTGGGCCTTCCCCCGAAGCACCACCCGGATCGCTGCAACAAAGAGAGACATGATCAGCGCGGGCCCTTTCCCGCAGAATCACCCGAATCGCTGCAACGGCATCGATGGCATGGTCAGCGCCACGAAACAGTCATTGTCGAACCGGACAGGAAAAAAATACCCACTGACACTGACCAATCCACCAATGGCCAATCAATGGCAATGGCCAATCCACTGACGGGGACTGCTCTGGCGGCGCGCTGAGGCCCCGGGTAGATATACTGTTCCGCCGTACACCAGTCGTGTGTCCGCGTCACGTGACCGGCCCCGGGCCGTGGCGGGGTCGGGGAAGGGGAGGGAGGCTGAGGCGGGAGTGGGGTCGGACACAGTCGAGGTGGGGTCTGGTTCGAGACAGCTCGAAGCAGTGCGTGAAGGTAAGTAATAAGTATGACTCGGCCGGCTGGGATGTGAGTGAAACAATATAAATTGTAGTTTCAACTGTTAGCAGACACGGCACCTGTTGCTTACATTTTTTATTTAAAATCAACGTGATATATTTCAAACGAACAAGCACCATGATTCATAACGGACCCTATACATACATTCTAGTTTACATGTAGGTATTCCCATCTTATTTGGTATATTGCAACCAAATTTTGATCAACCATTCTTCCCTTCGTGGTATCGGTTTGTCTGTGCTTCTGACGTCCTTTATAACAGCATGCATAAATGAGAGCTCCGATGACGCAAAATCTCCAAGTGCTATGCATATTGCATAAGCAGTAAGCTAAAGCTAGAGCCAAAGCCAAACCCAAAGCTAAAAGTCACAAACTGCTAAGACGTGTTTACTACCACAACTTCCCTAACTATACCGGAAATTTCACGTCGTCATTGTTAAGCCACTTTCTGATACTTGCCTGTTGCCTTACAGTTCACGAGAAAATCGCCATCACTGTCAAACAGTAGCCGAGAATAGCACTAGGGAAAGAGCGACTGTGCGGGTCTGCCATAGCCTCTTGGCGACCGCGTTCTGTCCGGCGATGGCCGAGTTTTGTCCGGCGATGGCCGAGTTTTACCCTGGCGCTGCCCATGGACGCTGAGATCACACTGTCAGTCAATAGTCAACTTTCCAGAACAGTCTGTGGGATGGAGCCCAGACGGCCCAGACGGCCGGACAGCGGTTCATTTATCACCACCAGAACTGTCTCAGCCACGACCAGATTTGGAGTTCACGGCCAGCCGCTTACAGACCGAGAGGCAGAATGGGCGATTTTCCTCCAAGTGAAAATGCTCTATAGTCCTAAAACGGGACTGATAAAGTTCAAGCGTCTCTTATAATGGTGGAAATTTCAGGCAGGGCCATCAATGCAGATATGTTATTGCATAGAGCTATCTAGATTAGATCTCTCATCAACCGCTCGATAAAATGGTGGCATTTCATCAAAGGAAAACAAATTATTGCGCATAACCTTAGTCCGTCCAGGCCTTCAAGAAAGAACTTTTATGTCTTCCTTTCTCCATTCTGGAAGCCCATGAGATGACCAAGAGGGTCTCAACAAACCGCCCCAGTGCCAGGAATTCCGGTCCCACGCGGCTGTGCCTTTGGTGAACCAGGCGGCGTCGACCGTACGCTGGGAGCCGCCAGGGTTAATTCTCAAATGGCTCTCATCATCAGCCACTCAGGAGCCAGGAGAGGTGTTCGCTTATTCATTAAATGGTGCCTGAGGCGGCGGCGAAAAGCCCGGGGTGTGATGAAGCGGGGAAGGTGCCCAGCTATGAATAACTAAGTAGGTGCGGACGTACGGCTAACACCATAGGCAGGTATCTAAATTGAGAGCATAATGGCTGAAGGATAATTCTGAGATGCTTGTCAGTGAATTAGCCCTTGAGGTGGCAGACTAAAGAACCTAACTGCATCTACAAATTGGTTGTTTGAATGTTGGGCATCCTAGCGGCAGTATGAGATATATTCAGTAAAAAAAAAAAAGATCACACTTTAATAGGGATAACGGCTTAGGTACCGTACGAAAAATCTATCGTAATAAACACAAATAACTTTGATTTTACGAAAATTTTTGCAGTTTTTTTTTATTATTAAATCCTCTTTTCCTTTGTTACGAAGGCGGCCAAAAACGATGTCATTAATTAACGTAAACTTTTTCGGTAAACAAACTAAAGCTTCCTCCTTTCAGCCTCTCGACATTTCACGATAAATGATCCATAGGCAGAGATCAGTCAATTTATTCCCCCGGTTGTCTCTATCGGCACCGTTTTGAGTCGAGCTAATCCATACCGGAGCACTGACTGACCGGGGGACGCCATCATACAATGTCGTCATCCGGTCCGGACGGGGCGCGCGGTCATGTTCGGCAGTTTGGCGGCCCGCCACAGCGGCGGCTGGGCGGGGACAGGTCGTTTGGATTCGCCGCTCCCTATATATCAGTTAGTTATGATCTCAATGGTAGCCCGATCAGGGTTGGCAGGGTACTCCTGCCGAACTCGTAATGGATATTGCAATTGGATGTCGAATAATCTCTAACGAATCTTGCCAAAGGCTGTGGCATTTGAAGCATTTATGGAATGCTAGCGCCCAGGCCCCAGCATGCTATGCATTTGAAGAAGGATAAACCTGCGAGCTGGTAAAGATTTGATTCCTTGCATAGCGATTCATGTCACCTGAGCGATTTGCATGATTAGGTATTAGCACATTGACTTGCAAGATAAATATAAAAACATTCAATATATGTATATTACATTCAACATATATTAACCCTCGCACGACCAGGCCATTTCTCATAACACGAACGACCAGGGGGGGGGGGGTTGTTACGACCCCCCCCCCTGGCGTTTCGAAACGGAAGGTCGTAGAGCTTAGCGGAAAAAACCAACGGATTGCTCTCAACGAGATCTCGCGATTGGTGGTATATTTTTTGGTCCTAGGTCAACATTTGACCTACTTTTGACCGGTCAAAGGTCAAATTTTCGGAAAAATAGACTTTTTTCAACTTTCGGCGACGATTGCGGCAAAACGGTGGGAGATATCGACTTGAAACTTTTACTATCGTGTTCCTTGATCAATTCTCTATCGTTTGGTATGTATTTTGTTTCCCTAGCTCTAAAAATGGCGCGTTGGGAGCGCCGGAAGTCGGCAAGATCACAGTCGGCGGCAGAAATTCGAAAAATCAAAGTTTAAATTTTTGAAATCTGATTGTATTTTTGGATTTGGGAGGTCCATTTGCTCCCTATAGAAGCTAATATTGCTGCATATTCCCATTGAGGTGACAAGAATTAGCAAAATAGTGGTTCGGGCGCTTTTCAAAAATAGTACCGGACGCTGTTCCTCTTGTGACGTCATAACTCCGTGACCTGACCTGACCCGGTCAATTTTCTTGCACCACACGATAGCCAATGCTTGCCCCAACATGCATGGGAAGTTTCATCATGATCCATCAAACAATGTGGGTATCACCGGCAGAAAACCTAGGGATTCGGCGCACACGTTTGGTAACTGTCGGCCGGAGGCTGTACCTCTTATGACGTCATAACTCCGTGACCTGACATGACCCGATCAATTTTTTTTCGGCAAAAGATGCGCAAAGGTTGCCCCAGAGGATATTGAAAATTTCAGCCCGCTACGACAAGCCGTTTAGCGTGCACTTCGAAAAAACCTCAGGGGGGGGGGTTGATACAACCCCCCCCCCTAGGCGTTCTAGGGTTAATATATTTAGAGTTGTTGAAGTTGAAGAGTTGAATGAAGTTGATTTTTAAGGGTCGTCTCAACCTAGGATCATTCATTATCCCGGTATTCGGGACTGTTGACTGTCCAGTAAAAATGCGGCCTCACCTCTCAGTTTGAAGTTTTCGATGGTGTCGAGGATGACCTGCCCGGCCAGCGTCTCGCCCGCGTAGTACATCTCCTTCTCCAGGCGAATGTCAAACTCGCGGATGTAGTCCATGGTGACCTGGGGACAGACGAGCACGGTAGTCAGGACAACGAGCCGTGGACGACTGCGATGTGTTCATTGACTGGCTATGCATTCGTCGGAATATAATAGATTCCAGATACAGGGCTTTTACATGCCGGACTTTTACAGTGAATTGGCAGTGCTGATTAAAATAAACACAATACGTCGTGGTTACTACAGGGTGTTTCACTAAAAGTGTCAAAAAGTAAATGCTTATTAAAGAAATATAAAATATGCAAATCACGTGGTTGCGCATGTGGCTTTGTTGCAAATTTTTGGACATTTATGCTTTGTTTATTTAAGATGTATTTTACACCCAAACGGAGCGAGGGCAGGAGGCCAAAGTTACAAGTCGTTTTTTTCCTTATACAGACCAAGAACAGGTTATTTACACCTCAACAGGAGGGGGTGAATTACACTTACATTTGGTGCCATCAGAAACATTGAAACCGTATGCCGACTTTTCAGGAAACGTTTTACTCTCCTCACCTCGCTACGTTCCGAATTATAAAAGTTTAAAAGGGCTTCTTAAGAGGTTTAAAAGGGCTCCTTCGATGCCAGTTCCAGTCCAAAAAAAGGCGGGGTCGCCCCCCACTTCTCGGCGGAAACCGTTGAAAAGGTCAGGGTCTTTTTGAGGGCCTTTGAAGATAACAAGAAGCTAATTTCAACATCAGAAATAGCCAAGGCCTTACAAGTTATCAAAAACGACCACTGTGACGGCTGTAGCCACCAGGAACTGGCTGGACCAGAAGTTCCTGGGCCAAATAATCAGCTGCCTCGCCGCCCGCCCCCATGGCCAGCGCGAAGCCCCGATCTGTCACCGCTGGACTTCTGGTTCTGGTCAGTGACTCAGTAGCTCTCGCAGAGCTGAGGAAGACTCAAGTCGCATCACTTCGGGAGCTGAAGAGCACAATTCAAGGCTTTGCCGACAGTCTGGACGCTGAATATGAAAACGGGCTGTGAGCCACCTCCGGACACGTGCGGAAACGGTGCATCAAAAGAAGGGGCGGATATGTGGAATAGGTTTGAGTGACGGTGATATCGCTGTTATATATTCAAATGTCCAACAACTGCGGATGAAATGATATGCAAATTTCCGTAGAAAACATTGTTCTTATGTGCATTATGACCTTTTACTTTTTGACACTTTTAGTGAAACACCCTGTATATGGGCGTGGAAATATTCAATGAGTAATGATGAGGGCGTGGAAATAAATCTTCAGTAAACAGCCTAGAGTAAACGAAACTGTTGCATTCACTAAGTTTGCCTTTTTGAACACTCGAAAATCCCGTTTGGATTTAATGCTTTCCTGGAAGTTTTAGGAAGTTGTGAAGTCAGCGAGCCAAGCCAACTCACTCGTGAAAAACACCGATTGAGGCGGATCAAAAGCAGAAAATGGAAAGTTGCGTTATTTTCGGCAGCCTCGCGTTTTGCTGAGCTCGCATCGAGCGACTATTCCGTCCGAATCCCTGACTGCAGCACAAAGACAGCGCCTTCGGCTTAGTGCGGCAGCGGCCTGCGGTGCATATGTCCCCGTTCTGTGAGTCCGTATTTTCCGTACGTTCACTGTCCGGTATTGTGCTCAACCCATGCACAGCACCCTGTCCTAGATCAATTCCTTCGCCACACCTTTGTCCTCTCATAACCCCTACATGTGTAGTGCCATACACACACAATAAACATTACAGTATCCTTTTCCTCCCACTGTCCCCATCATCCGTCCCCTGGCGTCCCGATCTGTCGACCATTAGCTGTTCTGGCGTAGCGGACTCGGACGTGACTCGGCATGTGCCCACCCGTGCTGTCCGTCTCCTCCATAATGTCTGTAATGTCGTCTGTAATGTCAGTGACGCTGCGAGCACACTCGGCAAAAGGTCCCTGGATGCACACGGCGGTAGGAGAATCCCGCCCATTGTCAGCCGCCCATGGCCGACGGCGTCCGCCCGTCTCATCACGTCCCAGAACCTCAGTGGACGGCGAGCGGGGCTGACATTTATTCGATTTGCATCGATGTATGTGAGACTGTGTGTGTGATTGTTGCGTTGATTATGATTTCAGACGTGTGTACTCGTATATGTGGGGATAAGTCACAATCAATCAGAAGAAGCGCCGATTTGTCGTTCCTTCACGACTGCGGTAACGTATAGAAATGGGAGCGCGAGTAGGCTGTTCTCCGCAAACATAGCTGAACATCCACGGTGAGATGTGACAAATGTGACGGCAGACTGCTGGGAAGTGACATGGAAGTGCCGCGCTGCGCCCACGTCCTTGACTTCCCGTTACTCTGTCCGCGCCGTCCCGGCGGAACGACGGCCCATTCCATCTGACCCGATCGTTTTCCATTCGCGGCAATGGAGCGCGCTCCGAGCCGCCGACGTCAGTCCCATCGTACCAATCGCTGCCAGCAGGCCGGCGTGTCGTCCATGTGTTATACGGTGTCATGCTGCGAAGAGGATACGCCAGGACGTGATCGGGTAATGGCTGCGAGGAACAGCTGCACCAAGAAGACGCGGCCATGGGATTTTTGGGAATAAATATGTTTTGGAAACAGCATGATACCATTACCTACATTGTACGTCTTAGAAAACCTTTAAGTTCATGTCTACGGACTTCAAGGCACAACATAGAGTAAGTAACTATAGTATTCAGGGTTTTGCGAAAGTCTCCCATTCACTGGTCGGTCACTATCAAACAGCCCCTCCCTGGCTGTCCACTGGCCGGGTAACCTCATTAGCTTCTCCCTGTATTGACTATTGACCGAGTGGCGCTGGCACGGTAGCAGCCGACCGAAGCAGGACCTGAACGGGAGCCAGCGCCGGGGCCGAGCCAAGGCCAGGGGCGCGCCGAATTACCCCATAGTGCGGCGGCAGTGAGCCAGATGCGGCGATAACCCCAACACAGGAGTCGGGGTGCGCCGATAACCCAGTCACAGGAGGGGCTGGGTGCAGTGAAAAACGTCAATAACATAGCTACGGTGGCAGCCTCAGTCAAAGCCAGAACCCGAAAAGAGGCCGAGATCCAATCAGTTCCCATAAATGGACGGTAGTGGTCCAATAATGATTTCTTCCGGTGACGGTGGAGCTCGAAAGCCACCAAATGACCTGTCACACGCGACTGCGGCTATACATACTGTGGGGCGGAGACCGAGCAGCGGGCAATGGTCGTACGGCGACTCAGCGCTCAGTAGCACGGCGCCCGGCCCACGGCGCTCAGCGGGAGCAGCGGGTATGAACATTGCTGGCATACTTACGACCAGAGGCCTGCTGCGCCCAGCAAGAGGAGTAGATACGGCACTCCGGCTGAACGTCTCGACAAGGTGTCTCGACACGCCCACTCCCCCTCCCCCGACAAGGCACCCCTCGTACATTGTGCATTCGCCCATGATACTCCCTGGATCTGCCAGTTTCCGTATTTTCAGGGTAGCTTATAGTTCGGCTTTTTTACCAAATGCAACATTCTGAAAAATGACCGCACCATATAAAACGTTCTGAGGCAATTTGGTAACGTCCGAGAAGTTCATTGAATGCAGACCATTCCATGGAACAACGCTATCGAACAATCGGTAACGGTCAGACGACAAAGGCCGGCACACGAGTGGCTCACAATCGGCCGCCAGTCGAAACGCGGCCGCTTTATTCAGTTTCTGGTGCCTCGGGGAGTCATTTGTCAGTGGCCTTATCGGGCGGCGAATGGGAAAACAAAACACACCTCTCCCAGACGTCGGCATTTCTCACCGGAAACAGGGCATTGCAGTTCATTGGAACAGATGATGCAACGAATGTCGTTATTTCGCACAGCAAGTTCTACTTCTAGGATGTTGTATGGAGGTGTTGTTACTTGTTATCGAGTAGCACATAAATGTGAGACAGTCATTCTTATTTGAATGTGAGAATGTGACACATAACTAATGGCTATCATGCCGGAAAAGAGTTTTTAGCTGATTCGTGCGTAGTCACTAGTCAGCATCATCAGCCCTTAAACCATCATGTAAAGATTGTAACATTTTTCATCTGGGCACATCCGAGTATTAGGTATATATGCTGCTCAATGCTCATCCTGTTTTTCTTACCACCCAAGTTTCACCGTGTGCCATCGCAGCCTCGGCACGGTCAGCACCGTCCGCTCCTGGTCCGACTAATCCCCCTCCCCCTAACCTGAGTGCCCATTACCCCGTCCCCGGGGGAGACCATACCATGTGGACAGGGACGTCCCAGAGGCGGCGGATCAGCCAGAATAGCTCGCCGCCGGCTAATGTCTGCGCCGCGGCGCCGGTGGGTGACGGTCGCTGACCTCTCAGCCCGCCTCCACGCCGCCGCGCCGGACCACCAGCCGTGCCATCAGCTCATTAGAGGCACCACCGGATAATGATAGCGTTGATCGAGCTCATTTCCTAATCCTCTCCATTACAGGGCCATTCCTGGGCTATTTCGGCTCGCTGAGGTAATGATAAATACGGTCGGCAGTTCCGCTTTTGTTCTCCGTATAGCGATACGGTGAGGCTGGGCTGACCTCTGCGATGGCCCGTTAAAACTGAGCTAGAGCGCTCGTTTGGTCTCTGGCTAAGTTTGACCGAGACAGAATCGCCGCGACGTCGTTTGTGCCGCTCTCGTTTAGAGGTCGGATGACTCGAATAAATAAAGTGCCGTCTTGTGCTAAAAGTGCGATGGTATGTAAAAGAGGCGTTTGAAATTGCGTCATGAATATTCCCATTATGCATACGGACTTATATGCATTCATAGCAGGGTCACCACAGAACTGACCAACTTCGACTGCAAGAAAGTGAAGACGCCTTATAACTCCATTGGTCATCTCACCAAAAGTATTTATATATGTACACTGTGACCAAAAGAACATCAATTCTCCACCAGGCTTATAAGTCGGAATGTGTTTGTCACCTTGTCGTTCGGTGCCTCATGCACTCCCATCATCCACGCAGTCGCGTGCCGGTACCTCTCACGGCGGCCGGCGGCGGATCGCCCGAGGCAGGGGGGGGGGGGGGGTT